CTTCAACATGTTGTCTATCTTAATTCTTCCAGACTTGTTTTTCTTTCATAAAATGCATTCAAAAATCCCATACACACGAAAAGAAAACTTGGTGAACAATAATTTTCACCGGTAACTTTTTATGTGTGATGTTATCTGAAAAGATTCGAGATCATTGAAAGAAGAAAATCAAAGTAAAAACATGAAGGTAAACAGGTAAAGAAATGAACCTATGAGAATTTACTTCACAAAAAACGCAAAGCTGATCTGAAGCACGGTTCGAAACCCATGGAAGTCTTAATCATTTCAGATTTCTTTCCAGCTATTTTCCGCTCTCCTACGAGGATTATTTCTTTCTTTTTATATTATACACAGGTTCAAATACAATTAATTTTTCTAAACTGCGATCATATTCCTGTGCGAGCAAGACTGAAGAACCCCAAACTTTCGCCTTTCTCCCAACAAGTGGCTTCGTAAATCGGTTGATATTATCCCCCACTGAATGGCATCCCGCGGATTCCAGCCCTGTCGATTGAGTTATTTCATTCAATGGTAAATACTTAAAAATGAAACAGGTTTTGAAGTTCCTAGAGCCGAAAAAAAAGTATTCTTTTTCTCAAGTAGACTACGACTCCTGACTAGAGCATAAAGAAAGCTCGAGACTGGACAATTCATGTACTTTGAAAATATTCATTTTGTTTTGTTGAAGTCACAGCTTTTTCGAACTATGTTAATTGCAAATGCGTATCGACGTTAAAGTGAATTTAAGTATGCAATCGTGAAAACAGGCCTTAACTTTCGATGAAAGATCTTTAAAGAAGGTGCAGTTTCAGTTTAAAATATGAAAACTGATTTATTAGCCAACATCTTGATAAACATGCCTGAGTATTAAAACGGTCATTATTAATCCCCTCACAACCATGTTCCTAACTGTCCATCGTACATTTCATACAATTTTGGCCTTGAAAATTTGAAGAAAAATCAAGCAAAACATTCCCTAGTTTATATTTTCCTTTCTTCCCATCGTTTATCTGCTCGACAACGGTGTTCAGTGAGACTGCAGATTGTACTGAACTCAGGGATTAATTAATGATTACTTCTAGGAGAGCTGAAGCAGTTCGGGAGACGGAATGGACGTCTTTTAGTATTACTGAGTTTACTGAAAATTAAATGTAATTTTTCTTCGGTTCCTTACTTTCAGCTCAGCCCAATCAAAGGCCAAAGTTTAGTGAAAATCAGTTTATTGCAACATTTAAAGAGGAAGAACCCAATGGTAAGTTTTAGTCATGAGATGCAACCAAAAGATAAGACTCTTGATTCTTGCAAGCACCAAGTTTTCATTAAGAATACCTTTTCACATTTCTCGGTGGCAAACTTCTCATTCACATATTTATTGTTTTTCATCATTTTCTTACATATACGATTTTCCACACTTATTTATCTTAACTTATCCTTTTTTCGCTATTTCAACTATTAATAACTGAAATACCGTTATGCGTATCGGTGCATTGCATTTTTTGTGGATGAGATGGCGGGAAATTCGTGTTGCATGTAGCTTCACTGCGCCAAACAGAATTTTGTGAACTGGTTAGAGCTTCCCAGTGTAAGTCTCCATTACAATAAAATCCTTAAGCTTGATAACAAACCACGATGCTACAAACGAACTTCTTCCCAAGAATACTGATGGTATCGAAAATGTTTCTTAAATTTTACTTCTTTCCTTTCTTGATTATTTTTTTCCTTCTCGCGGTTTTATTGTTTGTTTGTTTTATTTATTAACTTTTTGATTTTAGCAAAACTGTCTTGAAGTCTTGTCTTTCAAGCCAAAGTACGATTTGATGCGGAAAAGTTTAAAACAAAGTTATTTTTCGCAGGCACCAGAGTGACTCAAGTATCTGCCACAGATGCAGAAGGAAATACGATCAGCTATGAAATTGCCTCAGACGCCGACGGAAAGTTCAGCATCGACCAGTCTAGTGGGTGGATAACCTCTAATGTCGTCATCGACAGAGAGGTAGGTCTGTCATGTTGACGTCCATACTTAAGTTGATAAATTTTGAAATTATAATCTTTTTAGCAACATTTGCTGTTGTTGTTGTTGTTGTTGTCGTTGTTTTTCACCTGTAATGTTGTTCCAGTTGTAAGGTGTGATACTAAATTGGCTTATAACTCAGTTATCGTACTGTTTTTCATTGTTCGTGTGTACGCATGCTCTCCGAGTCATTTCCTTTGTTCAGTAAAACTTGTTATTGAAGAATTTATTTTAATGTTTGTTTTTCTGCCGCCTCGATTAGCTTTGCTATTTTGCGGGTAGGGATTATTAGATAAGTATTTTAATTGCTAATAATAAATAAATTTTGTTATTTTGTTGTTGTTGCATCGAAAGTTATCTTAGTTTCTTTGTAAAAAGGCCTAGCATTCTGAGATTTACAGATTCAAACAAATGTGCTTGCTTTCAATCTAGGAAAAACCTAAGTGGAGGAAATGAATTGATAAATCGAGAAATGCAACGAGGACATAACTGCTCTCTTTTCCTTTCAAAACAGACTTCTCCAGATCAAAGTATCCAGTTCACAGTGTACGCTTACGATAATGTCAATGGACCCGCGGCCAAGGTAGTATTGGAAACTGTATGATTCCTTAATTTTTCTTAATTTGATTGACTTTATAAGTGATTTCGTTTGTCTATTACATAACCAAACCAAGTGTATGTGGCACGTATTTTACGCCAAAAGCAGTATGGCCTTGTTCCACGTGCCTGCGATGCAATGTTTTTAGTGTCCTTTTATTCGAATAAGCGAGGAGCCGTGAGTGGGAGTTAACCGAAATGTTGTAACAGAATCGTAAAATCAAGTACATAAACCATGACCTAAAAAAGGAAGCATTGTTTCGCTTTTTCGGGTTTTCGACAGGTAGGTCAGCTTTTAAAACAAAGTAACAAATAAACGGACAAAACACAAGAAAACAAGCTATATATAAACAAAGCCGTCGCAAACGAACAAACTTTGGCTTATGACTTATTTCGAATATGTGATCTTTTCAGGTTTCCGCGACGGTGTCCATTACTATAGAGGACATCAACGATAACACGCCTGTTTTTCAGAATACTCCTTATCAAAAAAGGATCAGTGAGGTGAGATTTGACACCAAGCTATAGCGAGTCGTTTAATCAACATCTTCATGTTTCTAGGCATCTCAGGGTTATACGAACAAAATCTTTAAATTCATGGCAGAATGAAATGCGCAAGATCTTGGTTTAAGAATACACAAAGATATACGGGAAGAGCTAAGCTTGATCTGTGCCAGACAATTATCTTTTTAAGATTACACGCTTAATCAGTTGTGAAAATTCAGGGAAAGATAAGTTGGTGCCGTGCAAAAAAGTTTTCCGCTGATTTTTATGCCTTGCGCAAAGGGCTTGGAAAGAAGAGCTTCTAGTAATGCATTTTAATCGCGATTTATATAGTGGAAAAGAGAGAATATTTGTGTGATGTGTAAAAGCTGACTTTGAAATGGATTAAATAAGAGAATAAAAGTATGCAATCCGCGAAAAAAAAATAGCGAAATGCAAAATGCAGAAAGAAACGAAGAGAGAGTAAGAGCAGTGGTCATCTGACAAAGTGGCCGCCGGGGATTGAGTCAGATCAAGCCAGACTGGAAATATTGGGCTGTCAATCATGAAGTGTAAATCTCGCTACTACCCAGTCACTCGTTCCGTTCGCTGGGGCTTGAATTGGAGCCAAATTAATGCTTCTCCGTTCGGCCATCTCAGTCAGTGAGTACCCAGATTGTGTCTCCGGAGTGTGATTTTAAGTAATGATAAGGTTTATCTTGCTGTTTCAAAAGCACTCTCTTTTGACTGCAGGACATCAGTTCAACAAGTACAATATTCACTGTGACAGCAACTGACGCAGATATGCCGGACCCACCGGCCAAGGATCTGATTCAGTTTACTATCGTGGAAGGAAATGTGGTAGGTTCACTGGTTAATCTTGATAATTTCTATAGTATTATAAGTTATCGAAAGATATATGAGAAAAATTTTATCCTGCAAAAGAACTGCTTTCGTAGCAACTAGAGCTTGCTCCAGAGGCCTGAGTTTAAAACTCGGTCAGGTTTAGTCAAAAATAGATGTCAATGCTCTAAAGCGCCGCATGCCTCTGTGCAAGTTTTTAACACGAAAGGATTTATGAATTTATTGAAAATCGCGTAAAAACCGGGTGAAAGGGATAATCGCATACATGTGCCTTTTACAGGCATAGAAAATTTTCATGTGGAACTAAACTTTTGTGATAATCGTTTCAAGACTATGTGCCTATTTATTACCGGTATTGGGAAAGTACAAGATGATTGGATACTGCAAAGAAGAAAAAAAAATTATCTTTTTAGAATAGCAATCTTTTATGGTATATTCATGTCTTCAAGTTTTATTTCGTTCCGTTTCGAATGATAGCTTTCCAGTGCTTTGGGCATGATTTGTAATAAAAGAACTATGAAACTTTTACGGCCGCCTGTTTCATTCGATAAAGAGGAAGATTACATGCATTTTACAAACCTCTATAAGTTTACTTGTATATTATTTTTCTATTCAGGGAGACAAATTTCACATTGATTTGTATGGTGGCAGTGTTGTCGTCATCAAAAAACTGGATTATGAGTCCATCAACAACTACACCCTGAAAATTCTTGCCAAGGTTAGTAGAGTCTCAGTTAAACCACTCTAAGAATATCCCTTGGAACTGCCGCTGTCCAAATTCCCAGTCCATGCTGACTCGCCAAAGCTGCATGCGGGTATCCGAGTTGAGGATAATGAAGAAAGTTTAAAGAACAGCACCATTATCTTAGGCTGCTTTGATAATAAAGAAAAGAGCACACCCCCTGAAAAAAAAAAAGTGTCACTCATTTCTAAAATGAATCAAGGAACGAGTGCACATGATTTATTTTTATTCATTTCTATGGCCATCTTCAATGTTTTATGAGAAGTAATTTGGAGTTGCTGTAATTTGCAGTTACAGTTTACTGGCATCGCATTTTGAATCGATCTGGATTAGCATGCAAACTAAAACAAACACGAACCTCGTAACTCATGTTTTATAGCATTTGGAGCTGCTTAGTGTGCTTTTACTTTGCGAGTGGTATTGAATAAATCCTTCTTTAACAATGGTTTTTTTGTCCTCTACTCTGTCTGACTGTTGTGTTAACGTTTGGCTTGGTTTTACAACGCCTAACCGAATGTACTCTTCTGAACTAATCCGCTATAATCTGCTTCAGGATAGCGGGCCTGGCATTGAACTTAACTCAAGCGCAACACTGAATATTCTCATAGATGACGCCGATGATCTCCCGGCCGAGTTTTCTCCCTCTTCATACGAGGCAGAAGTGCCAGAAAATGCAGCTAAGGTCGGGGATTGTGAAACAGCAAATTTTTTTTTATATTAATTACAAGCTGTATTTGTTATACACAAACCCAACTCTGGATAAAAGAACGCTCTGTTTTTCTAATTTTAATGAAAAAGAATGACTGAAAAAAAAATTGGTTCCTGACAGTTAGCGCACCGTGCGGATACTTTTCGTACGCCTCACTCCAAGAGCCCCGGCTGCGTGGCGCGCCAACTTGAAATTTTTTTCACTGAACCTTTTAAACTCAGGGAACGGACTTCGCCGAAATCAGTGACTGCACCTAGTCTATTCTAATTTAGCATTTGATATCACGGAGTCTTTTTTTCAGGAATATTATCTTGATAATCTCACTTCATTGCGATCCATTCGGTCTCAAAATGAACAGGCAATTTGTAGATGTGCACGCCTTACTAGATACAAACGAATTACGTTGGTATGCTTATACTGAAGTTATTTGGGAATATACTTTACCGTACAGGGTACTTACGTCACGACTGTTACAGCACGTGACGGAGATAAGATGTTGGATGCACCAGTGGAATACTTCATAGATACAAGTAAGAAACTTAATAGAATGCGTTTAAAATCTTGAAATCGAAAACACGGACCAAAGATTATAAATCATGAAAATTCATCAGACGATGAACTTTGATGAATTTTCACGAGTCTTGTTGGAAATAACAAGGAAAAAGTGGATTTGATAAAGTAGTGTGATGGTTTGAGTCAGGGCGATCCTAAAAGCAATCGTTTTGAAACAAGAGAGAGTGAAATCTCATCCTTTCCTGGTGTTAGTAATGGTGCATGACGTTTCGTTAACCTACGCAGAAGTCATCTTTGCCTCAGGTTTTACCTTAAAGCTGATGATGATGTTCGCTCGTTAATTCCAGATCGGGAAATAGGTTTCTTGGCTTGATCGGTGTTTATATCATTTTCCTCCTAAAGATACGAACCCTAACAGCGTATTCACCATACTTGGCATATCAGGAGTGATAACAGTGAATGGCTCGTTAGACAGAGAAACTACGGACTCTTATAACTTGAGAATTGGGGTGAGTAATTTGACAAAAGTATCAGGCTTGACTTAGTGGGTCAGTTTATCGGGCGTTACCAATGGAACCCGTTTTTCCGGGTGGCAAGGAGAGCAGTGATGTAGTCCTTCCACTTCGGCCGGACCAACATCAGACCTCCACTTTCTCTGCGATTCGAATGATGCCACAAGTACCTCCTATCTGTTCATCTCATTTAAGTTCTTTTACTCAAAATCGTGGGTCAAATTGGCTTCCACATAAAAAATACCGTAAGAAAAGCTGGAGGTATTTAGGAGCTGGGATTGTTCCGAAACATTTGGGAGAGCGTACTCAGTTGCTTGTCGTCACAGGTGCAGCAGCTGCGAGGAAGAGACTAAAAGGTTTATAGTTCAATCTGGACGTTCAGATACAAAATATGTTGTGTTCAGTGCCCTGAAATTAATTTTCATCTTGCAGGCCACTTCAACTAATCACAACCCAGTTTATGCTAACGTGAAGATAACCGTGAAAGACGTAAACGATAATTCCCCTGTTTTTATCGACGCACCTTACTCAGGAGAAATTTTAGAAAACGCTTCACTTGGAATGACTGTTATGAGAGTTACAGCCGTGGATAAAGACGAGGTAAAGTAGCACAGATATTTTCTCAGTAACTTTTCTTACTGATGCGATTTTGATTTCGTTTCTTGAAAAAAAAAATAATAAGTTTTTTGTATCTCGTTAGTGGTATGTCCTTTCATTGTGTGTGACGAGGCTGCCTTAGCTTGTTGGTAGTACATTGGATTTCGGATTTAAAGGTTTAGGTTAGAGCACTGAATGTGTCTTTGTGTCGTGCTGGCGAACAAGACACTCAGGTGTCATGGTGATTGTATGAACACACTATGGAGGGAGTCAGTGTTCTCTAAAAACACCGGCGAAGTCGGCGTTTTCATCGGCTTCTTGTTTATGGAGACTTGTCTTGATATGAAACGTTTGTTTTATTTTCGTATGGAATAGATTGATTAATTAAAACGGGAAAGAAAAAAAAATGAGTAAAAGCATGGGGGAATAGGTGCTAGCGGAAAAGATGCTCTTGCCAATTGGGCAGTCAATTGATAACCAGAAGCTGTTTAGTTTTGTTTAGTTTTGTATATTTTTCAGTATTGCTGGCTACTAAAAAATCTGAGGATAACTTTGATGGGTACTATGAAATTTTGACTGAAATGAATCTGTTGAACTTTTGGCTGTTGCCTGTGGTAAATTAGCTTCCCTTTCCGTTAAGAAGGAATAACAAAACTCCTGGTCGCCCTGTGCTAAAGAAACCGGTATATGCTTCCAGCTCTTCTGGTATGGGCGGTAATGGGCCGCCTGGCTTTTAAAAAGACTTACCTCTCTGGTTTCATCATTCTGTTGATGTTAGGGAAATAACGCAGTGTTCTCGTACAGCCTGGAACGCGCTGGAGGAAAGTTTACCGTCACGCCTGCCGGATATATCTTGGTAAACGATGAAATCGATCGCGAAACGGAGGATGTGCATTCATTTCAGGTCAGTGCAATGACTTGAGTTTTACCTTTTGTAATATCCGTAAGTAATTAAATGTTCAAGGAAGTGGGGGTATGTGGTCGGATGGAGTTGTTGGGCGGTTACTAATGTTCTTTCCAGACTTCTCTCGGTAATCCAAAATGGTGGAGGAATTCCAACATTGCTCCAACTGATAACATGCACCGCTGAATTATTATATATCCGCTTTCCTCGACCCTTCTAGGTTCCGTGGAAAAGGGTCCTCAAATTGGAAAAGCTATCTGCCTCCAATGTACCTCCGTTTCGCAACGCGATCTCGAAAAGTCACCTACGTTGCCGGATGGTGCAACAAACCTCAGTGTCATAATTTTGATTTGCAATCGATTTTTCGTTGTGTTTAATCTTAGGTTGTGGCAAAGGAAACTAAGACGTCAGAAGAGCGTCAAGCTGTGGCATCTGTCACTGTCAATGTCACAGACTTGAATGACAATAATCCAAAATGTTCCCAAGCTGTTTATAGGGTTACTGTGCCAGAGAACAGACCAGGAAACACATTTGTAGTGAAGGTAAGATGCTGAGGAAACATTTATTCGAAGAATTCCGATTTTGTATTTTTTCTTTTGTCCTTTTTGTTCCGCCAAAGCGTTCTCTTCAGTATTATGCTCAATTGTAATTATATACGCTGCCACGGATAAATTCTTTGTCGGAAAAATATTTTAAAGATAAAAATTCAGGACTGTCTATTGAACCTTGAAGTTTTCTGGTGCTGGATGTAGGAGTTAAGTGCTCAGATCTGCAGAACTCTCAGCCAAGTCTCTTTGTTTATTTAGTGGGTTTTGTTATTTATACATTTATCTCGTATTTTAAAGTGAATTTTCCTAAATCCTTTAGACCACCAGCAGAAGGTGGTGTTGCAGCATTTTGCCTCGACCAAGGGCGAAAATTTTGCTTTGAACTTTCCCAAGATTTTTAATAACAATTTGGATGTAACTCTGCGAAAAAATGACTCAAATCACAGACATATCAGTAAATCACACATTATACGAATGTTACTCTAAGTTATGTTACACTTCCTGTGGATATTCTGAAAGGACGCAGTTCGTCACGCAATTTACATGACATCAAATACCGAGCAAATATAATTAGCATTAAATATGTTTTTCACATTTCTTTTTATATTCATAGATTACTGCATCCGACCCTGATTTGGGACCAAGTGGAACGATCCGATTTAGTTTTGTTCCAGATGCTAATGACCATTATAAGTTCTTTACTATCGATCCCATAAACGGTAGTATCTATTCGACGGCTAGTTTTGACCGTGAGCACCTTGCACTTTACAAGTTAACCACGCGCGCCACAGACCAGCCAATTAGTGGACAAGCAAGGTAGAAATTATCCTTCAAATAACAAACCTCCTCCCTCCCTGGATCAACAACAACAGTCAACTGATAACAAGTTGAAGGTTAATGTTGGGTTGAGGGGCTAGTGGGGGGGGTGGGGGGTGGGTTAGGTGTGCAGTTGCTCAGATCTGACTCTTTTTTTAAGTCCTCTTAAAAATTTAAGCCAAAAATTTACAATTTACGTCCAAGTAAGGTATATGGGAAAAACGCATGGTAGCTGATGACGTCCTAAAGTTGTTCAGACTACACACGTTTTCTTTTTAACGCTGGAAGTGAAATGAATGCCTGTATTTTTTTTATGTAAATGCCTGTTTAAAACCCATAGTTACAGTTTCTTGGCTGTAAAAACACTTGGTTTATAGAAAGGATTGAATTTTTAGCTGCCGGTCTTTCTGACGTTTCACCTGACAAGTTCAATTTATTCTGATCATGTTTGAATTATGAAAGAATTTTTTTCGCTATTCAGATTCGGAGACTGCCGGGTTGAGGTAACCATAAGTGATGAAAACGACAACAATCCAAGATTTACAAAGTTACCAAACAAGACAAGTGTGTCCGAGGGGGCATCCATAAACACTGTCTTATACAGGGTTCAGGTAAGGATTTTTACCAAAACAAGTACAGCACTTGACGCTGTCGTTGCCATAATAACGTTGAAGTAAATGAGAAGAAAAATGACGATGACGATTATGGAGGTGCGGATGACACAGATGTCGATAGTGATGTGACAATCTGATTGGTCTAAGGCAGTCACGTTACATAGAGCTGATTGATAATCCTTTTAATGACTGACTGGTAATGCGGACCGACACAGTAACAGAGATCTTCAAAAACACACTTTTACCTTTTTCCCACTGACTATAACCATTTCTTGGTGTAAACATCCATGAGCCAATCAATTTGAAGGGCTTTAGATAACTAGCGACTCAGAAAACAAATGAAATACGGATTTAATCTTTTACTATTATTTGCCTCCGAACGGCAACACCATAAGGATCGAAAGTCGCGATGGTCAACAGTATTGACAATGTTTTTGTTTGTTAGGCCGCTGATCCAGATGAAGGGGGTAACGCTGTAGTAAGTTACACTATTTCCGCTGGGAATACTAACGATACTTTCTCTTTGAATATCAACAGGTAAGAGCATCATAAAATTCATATGAAATACTTTTTCATTATCTCAGCAAAAACTGTTAAAAACGTCTGTAGCGTCAGTGAAACAGGCTTCTCGGTGGTAAATTTTCACCCAACCACTCATGCTTTGTTTCTTCAGTCGCAATATAATGTAAAGATCCAAGCAAACCAATTTTTCGGACTGATCAAGTCAGTCCGGACTGATCAAGTCAGTCCGGACTGATCAAGTCAGTCCGGACTGATCAAGTCCCTGAAGGGGTGAGAAGTATGAAAGACACTTAATCAAGAGAACTGTGAACTTAAATGGCTAAAATCATACGTTTTAAATTTAACTGCACATTTTTTGAATAGCGAGATAATAAATACTTAATTTTTGCATGTTTTGTTGCTAGGTTTGGCCACATAGTCTCTAACTAAATGTAATTGTTGTCATAGAGATTTGATATGAGATAAATTCCTTTTGATCAATCTATCGGAGCGTTATGTGCTGCCACGAGTGAATGACGTTTCGTTTCCTCTCAGTACTCTCCAATTGTGTTCAAGTGTATCTTTATGAGATATGCTTAACCAGCACTCGGGATTCAACCTATGTTTTCGCAAAGACGAGCATCGAGTCATTCCGAAAAATTTTCCTATTTTTGTATTTCAGCGGAAGTCTCTCAACTCTTCGAAAGCTGGATAGAGAAACTAATGCCCAGTTTTCTCTTCAAATCACAGCCGAAGATGGGGGAAAAAAGGTTAGTGACGACATAGGAATAACTCAAACATTGTTAGAAGATGAAATGCTTAAAATCTGAGGCCTCCAAGCACCTTTTGAGGTGAACTTTTCGTGAGATTCTTTCCAAGCTTCTAATGTAGTTTTGTCATAAAAATAGTACTGTATCGAAATATGAAAGTTTTAAAAATAGGAAATTTATAGTCTTACCTAAAAAGAAAAGATCATGTGTTTCATTTCAAATTCGAGGTAGTAAGTAATGCGTTATTTGATAAACGCGCGGCGAATATGATGTTTCTGAAATGGTGTCTTTTATAAATACGTGCCAATTGTTGTTGTTGTTGTTTTCTTTGAGATAGAATAGACAAATAATCCCATTCAAGTAAAAATTAGCTCAAGTAAAAATTATTTTCTACACGAGATAAGACTAAGGTTTATGGTTAAGTTATCAATAAGCAACAAGCTATGACTCGGTAAAGACCCGCCCCTACCCCTCCCAGGCAAGAAGTTCCTTGAGTAACAACCTGATTCCTTCTTAACAGTCAACAACAAAGAGTCTGGTTGTTCATATCACGGATGTCAATGACAACGCGCCGGTATTCACTGAACCAGAGGGGTATTACTTTTCAGTGGACGAGGGAAAAGCTGGTTTGACTGTTGGAATTGTCACGGTAAGTTCATATTCCCAAACTAAGTTGAATAATGGTTTCAGTTTGGTCCGTTATTAAACGCATAACGTTCAAGTCATCTACAGTTTCCTCTCGCCGCGTGCGTAGTCAATTTTTTTTTTTAAGACACGTAGTATTGCTTTAATTTGTTTTTGAAACTGTGCCGTTGCACAAAAGGTAGAAGACAGGATTTTCTAACTTCTACAAACTAAGAAAACAGATAAATAACGTCCGCTATTTTAAAATGTACTTTGTATGTTATCCTTGTTCGAATATTCCACTGAATTCAGTTCCAAGGCCATATTAAACTTGTCTTTTGATACTTGAATTTGTCACTTTTACAGGCTGTAGACACCGACGAGGGAATAAATGCAGAGGTCATTTACAGTCTTAAGCCGGTAGAAGATTATTTAAAGTGAGTTATTTAAAGAATGAAGGCACTTCAGTGAGTGATAAGTTTTTGCCGTCAAGCATTTGGAAATAACGTGAAGAGGAAACTTAATTCAAGAATAAGAATTCATGTTTTGGTACATAAATCCATCCAACCCATTGAATAGCATTATTCGCTTAGCAGTTGTAACTAGTCGTAACTAGTTTATTAAGTGGTTCACGGCGACTTTGGGTTCATCTGAAAAAAAAATTGCTCGATCGAAAGTTACATTTCATTGTCTTCAATAATTTCCAGATTTACCATAGACGACTCTTCTGGCGAGATAAAGACAACCTCTGCATTAGACCGCGAGTCCGCTGACCAACATAAAATCCGGGTTCTAGCCAAAGATAAAGGTCTTTCCAATCTCCAGGCTGAAGTTAATGTTGTGATAAACGTCTCTGACGTCAATGATCACAGTCCGGTATTCAGTAAGCGGCATTACGTTGTAGCGGTGAAAGAGCAACTTCCAGCGCATGTCATCTTGAATTTGACGGTATGTTGGGTGACCTGGTTTTAAATCAGATACGATGAATATATGAAGTTCATATATTTTGAACTGCGGTTATAGATACGTATGATGCACAATCCTCGCAGTAGATTCGAACCACTGACCTCTGCGATACTAGTGCAGCGCTGTACCCATTGAGCTCTACCAATATACTGGATTTTTTTAAATACATGTGTCTATATGTGTATTCCAAAGGATGGCCAACTACAATATCTCGCTAACCATGCATTCTGGCGGCGCCCGCCTAATAATTTACTCGAACTTATCAGAACTTAATCATCTTCTTTCTTAATTTTTCTGAACTACTGAAGCAATAACAATTGTAAAATTCTTACCTTGTCATAAGTTAGCCGGTTCATTTGGTAACAGTCATTTTTGTAAGGTTTTTAAAATCGTACACGCTCGTCTGGACGCAAGCACTGAGGAGGTATCCCCATGCCTTGTTTGACTTGTTTCTATGGTAAAATCGCTTTCACATAATTATCGAAGCAAGGTGAATTGCAGCAAACTGTGGTAAACGGGGCGGAACGCCAGATTCTCTAGACGATCGAAAGTTTCTCCTGGCGCCGAAAAAATTTGCTGTTATGTACATCGTTTCTGCTTACGTCGAGGATAGGAAATTATACATGCTACACATAACAGAAATTAAATATACTTTTTAAGTCTGGTTCTAACAGATCTTTGTCAGCTCGCAAAATTTCCTTCCTCGAAAAGCAAACAATAGTGAGGGTTTTCTTAGCATAATGACCCATATCTTCAGTCAGTTCTGACATTTTCATGTGCGTGTTTTGTTATTGAACTAACCAATGAGACTTTTATATACAGGCAACAGACCGAGATGTTGGCATCAACTCGGCGTTTTTGTATTCAATCCTATCTGGAGATTCTGACAACAGCTTCGTCATCGATCCAGTCAGCGGTGCTCTTTCCACTACAGGTCCCTTAGACCGGGAACAGCATGATTCCTATATCTTGTTGATTCGTGTGTCTGATCTCCATGGTAACAACAGTTATGGCGTTGTGTTTGACGATTCCACGGTGGTTGAAGTTGTAGTCGAGGTAAGGCTTTCGTTACCCTTACTTCCTTCTTGCTAGGTTATCTATAGTCGGGTTCAACGCAATCATAGCCATAAAGATTACATCTCGATAATTTGTTTTGCCATACTGTTGTTAAATTAGAGAGATCAAGATAAGACGTTTGTGTTCTTCGATTGTCACCAAACGGTTTTGACCCATTGTCCCCCAAGGGTGTCTACCTTTTAATTTCTACTTACAGTATCAACCTTAAATCAAATGTGCAGGCCATGAGAATAAAGGAAACCGGCAATCATCAATGTGAGAAGCTCCCGATAGTCACAACAATTCTCTTTGTACCAAAGAATAGCGAGAATAGCGTGGGGAATGTGAAAGCTAGTTTAAGTGAGGAAAGGCTTAAAGCGTTGTAAAATCGTCCTAAAAGACGCCTTGAAAGAATATCGAAAATGAGCTCAAGTGAAGGACAAAATTTGAAGTCCTTGTTACTCAGCAAAGGACAATACCCGGTACTGCATTTTCAGCGTTCCGTAAAACCGAAAAACGACAGTTTTTACTGGTCTTGATGTCGTTCGAGCGCAAGAGGTGCAAGATTTTAGCGCGCATCGATGTCTCGCAGTTTATATAATGGTCAGCTTTATGACTGCATGGAAAATGCATTTCTTTTCTTTAGAATACAAATGACCACAGACCACTGTTTGCCAGTCCTTTGTATCACGTTGAAATATATGAAAACATCACTACTGGTACCGCCATCTTAAAACTCTCCGCCCAAGACCGCGATGATAATGTAAACATGGCTCTGAGGTACTCTATTGTCAGTGGTAATACCCTTGAGAGATTCTTCATTGATGTCTTTAGTGGTGTAATTTACGTGAAGAGTTCCATTGACAGAGATCCACCGAGGAACGAGAGTTCTTTCTTACTTACGGTATTGGTTCATTTTCTTGATTTCAAACTATTTTCGCCGTTTGATCGTGGACTCAACTTTACGAAACTGTTTGCTTCGTAACCTCTTTAAAAAACATGTATTCTTTTTCTTGTGTTATAGATCATGGCTAAAGACGGAGGAGAAATTTCATTTAACTCCACCACAAAGGTGGGGATTACCATAATCTATATAGGCATTTGAGTGCGCTAAGATGTTTGGAACAGTCTCTAAGGTCGCGAAGAAGCACTGCGTGTGGGAGTGTTTGTTTTTCACTTACATGTCGAACGTAACTCATTCGGAACTTGTTATAACCTGATCGGGTGATATGGAATCTTTTATCCTCAACAAACAAATTGCAAGAGTCATTTTACATTTGTGTCAGTGCTTATAATTAGTTGGCAAACCTTTGAACAGGAGTGAGGCTTTGGTTGACCTTGTTTTGTGTGGAGAAACGACATAGTTACGATTACAGGAATTTACAGCTTAGAGTGACAAAGTTTCTATCTAAAGAATGTGAGCGAAGCACTCGTTTTTGAATGCAGTATTCCACCATCCCATTTTCCACTCTTGATTACAGGTCAGCTTCACCGTGTCTGACGTGAATGACAGTCCACCGGAGTTTGAATCTGGTACGTCATGTAACACTTAACAGGGCTGGGTTGTTTTTTAAACACGAAGGCGCGCTATATAAGGAAGTCTTCCCTGGGAAGACCTAGGCTCATTTGTTACTCACCGTTGACGTGTGCGGGTCAAATTCAAATGCTGGTAGACGAACAAAAGGAGCTAATGAGATATCTATTGTTTACTTCCACCAGCATGGTGGCACGAGGTAACGTGCGAACCACCGACTTCGATCTCAAATTTACCGCCACAAATAAAGACAGTTTCCATTGGAGAAAGGAAATACAAATCTCAAAAATTCTTGTATTGTGATGAAGACATAAAACAATTTTGAGGAATGCGCCCGTTGTTCACTGCTTTGGAGTAGCTGTAGCTCAAGTTGACTTGACTCTAACAGTTCTACATCACACGACGGTTGATTGACAAATGGTCCAGTGGGACNCGCCTTGCACAATTTTTTTTTTTTTTATTTTCATCCTCTTGAGTATCTTTTTAATAAATCCTCCTCTAGTTTTGTGGAGAGAATTAATCCATCAGCCAAAAATCTTTATCTTAGTCAAAGAATGAATTATACAAGGGTGAAAATTTTCTTTTTTGACAATAACTTCTTTTTTTTTTTCCAATGATAGGTTCCTTCTCAGTTTACTGTGGACAGCTCCAGTGGCGTCATATCAAGTTACCAACCGTTTGATTATGATGAAAAACCAAACACATACACACTAACCCTTACAGCAACAGACAAAGGGATGCCTCCTCTATCGGGGTCGGTATTTTGGTGTTTCACAAGGTGGCCCTAAATAACAAACTTGGTTCTCTACAAAGATGTAAAATGTCTAATTTTCCCCAACGAGTAAGAAAAAAAAAAAAAACCTTTCGTTGCTAATCTGATTCGCCAGATGACGTCAGTCTCGCTTAATGTTTGTCCTTCAACATTTTTTACAAGCAACCCGAGACATAGAAAAGCCAACAATTGTAAACAAAATAATTAGCAAACAACCATTGGATGACTTTCTTATTGGGGGAAGCTTGAGACGCTCAAAAGATTACGCATTAATCACAAAGAGTAACAACGAACTACCAATTCTCTGACTCTCCCTAAGAAGTAATGGAGAAATGTGATCTCAGTCAAGATGACCACAATGGCTTCAGGGTACAGTTAATGTTGTTTTACTTATCATTACTTCCAGGAATACCACAATTATCGTGGAGCTTGAAAACGTTAACGACAACACTCCTATGTTCACTCAGAACAAGTTCTTCTTCATTGCGTTAGAGGTGAGTTTGAGATATTCGGCACTTGTCATCGAGACGTAGTGCATACCAATTTTTTCGTGAATGAATTTGAAATTAATGGAAGACTTCATCTTGTTACAGGGCTCTTACGTTGATAGCAGCAAAGTTGTTGGTGAAGTGACTGCTGTAGATAAAGATCAAGACGATAAGAATTCTGCTTATGGCGAACTAAAGTACGAATTTGTGAACCAGACAAGTAAGTGTAGTACTTTTAACTTTGTACAAGTTGTCAATTCTCGTCACTCTGGCTGTCTGAAGTTATTAGCGAGGTAACTTGTGAGAAAATATCACATGTATCTTCAGTTTTTTGCGCTACATGTCGGCAACATTTTGTTGAGTCTCATTGCACCACTGTAAATCAGGTTGTAGTTATTAGCAGCAATTCATTAGCGCACTTTCTCTTTAACGAAAAAGAGCAATATACGTTTTTCTTCAATTCATTTTGATAAAAATTGCGCAATTTTCAGGTAAGTGTCGAATCTGATTAGGGTTTAGATTAGCTTGTCCCAGGCTTTCAGTTGATAAAACAGAGGGCGACGCTAAAAGTAAAAACACTGCAGTAACGGCAGAGGGTTAGAAGCGGGAGGACGGGGTCGGGTTGAAAGAAAAAAGGAGGGTTTGGGTTGGGCTGTGCAAGGAACGCAATTAAGTGCACTACGACCGAACCTCCCTCATTTTGTTGACCGGCCAAAACCTCCCGCTTATAAAAAGGAGCGCGATGTTAAAATTTAAAAAGGGAGTTTAAGAAACGACAACGGTGACGCTGTGGACAACGTCCTTTAAAAAATGACCTGTCCTTATTTTTTACTTGCGAATCTTGCGATACTCTATAGTCATTTAGTTTGTTTCTCACTGGCAAAACTCAAACCTAAATATGGAACACAGCGTTAAATTAGAATGAAATTATAAATAAAATTAGCCGGCGTCGCTCACGTTCTCCAGACAACGTAAAGTTTGGTCATTTCACGCTTTTGCTTTGCAGAAGACGCAAAGAAATTTACAAAGATTTACAACGCACGTGCAAGGCCATTGTTCTGCTCATTTTTCTGACCTGGCCCAGACCTCCCGCTTTTTCCATTCACAACTACTATCGTGCCTCTAATTTTTTCCATCGCACTCTGTTTTGCTAACTGAACATCTGGAACAGGTTGTGGGAGAGATTCTCTATTACCCAAACCTCCCTCATTTTTCTGACCCGGCACAGGCCTCCTGCTTTTTCCATTCACAACTACTATCGTACCCCTAATTTTACTATCGCACTCTGTTTTACAAACTGAACGTCTCGAACAGGTAGCGGTTGGAGGGTTTTTCTTTTTTACACAATGTGATTTTTTTATAACTCTCGCATTCCCTTTTCAAACAATACAAACTAAAACCAGTTACCATTTTGTCACTCTCATTTTACGCGTCGACGTCCATCAGGCTGGTGTTCTTACCTTTTTTTTTTCCTAGCCATTTTATAAACTTTTGTTTAGGTTTCACAGCTCTTACTCGAACAGCCATATGGACCCTAAGAGTTTTTAATGGACGTTCCACTTTGTCCTTTGTACTCCAGGTTTTTATCGTGATCATCAATGGCCACTTGACCGTGAAGATGCTGGCAAGGTCCTGGACGTGCGTGCTGGTGTCCAAGGAGAGTTAAAAAATGGTGCGAAAGTAGTCTTTGACCCAGACCTCGGCAATGTGGTGTCACTTGAAGCATCTGAGGCTTGGTTACTAATGGGAGACTTCAAAGGTATTTATGTTTATTTCCAACCTATAGCAGTGGATCATAAATGTTCCTCAATCAGTCGTATGTTTTCCTGTCAGCGGTATTCTTATTCCTTCATGTGAACACAACTAAGACATTCAAAGAAGAGTGAAAAAAAGTTCTAGCTAACTGTGAGGACATTTGCCATGTCATTTCTTTTCGCGAAATACTTTTGTGACATTATTGTTTGGTTGGGTTCGAAGAAAGTAAACGCGACGAGGTTTATGTTCAAACATTTCTTTCAATCATTGTCACAAACATAACCTGGTATGAAGCCCCGCTAGCAAGCGAAAACTCCAAATATATCAATAGTATACATCTTTTGACAATGATCGCGTGGAAGGAAATCTGTAGCTGAGTGTTGCAGCCCATAATTCGACCTTCCAGTATTCCCTTGCCTTTGGGGGAGCAGGGATGGCGCAGTGGTGAGAGCACACGCCTCCCACCACTGTGGCCTGGGTTCGATTCCCGGACCTGGCGTCACATGTGGGTTGAGTTTGTTGTTGGTTCTCGTCCTTGCTCCGAGGGTTTTTCTCTGGGTCCTCCGGTTTTCCTCCCACCGCATAAAACCAACGTTCTAAATTCCAATTCGATCTGGAAACAGTGGCCAAGAAGAGCCACCCAGTGGAATGTTCATTGCTAAGTTATTTATTTATTTATTATTTGACACTTGCATTTATTTAGAAAGTGTTTTTGCACAACATAAAAACAAGAAGATATCATTCTCGCGTAACCTTCACTTGGTAGAGAAATCCATCCATGCATAACTTCCTATGACCAACCTTCTGAACTCCCTGTCCCTTGCATTGTTAATTAAGTTTTTCCTAATTGGTTCTGATTTCAATTGCGCCTGCGTTAATGCATGTAGAGCACCACAAGGGTTAGATGAACAGATTGAACCGTATAAATACCTTCATAATTCTCACTACTTCTGAGGTCCGGACGGTCGAGGGTTACCCATTAGAAATCAGCACCCCTCGTCCACTCACTAGACCTCATCTCTGTTTTACTATCTGTTGAAAGCTCTTTACAGGTTGGAGAGGAGTCATTGGTTGTCAGATCAAAATCTTTCAACGCATTTAATATTACACCGGCCGCTATTTGGAAATTAAAGCTAGCTTAAACCATCAAGCATGTTCAATAAATTTGGTAAAATAGGGGATCTATAGCCTTGACGAGAATTATAACTTCTGACATTACGCTTTCAGCAAATCAAATGTTCTGTCGTAATTTCTCGAGCGATAAATTAACGAACCAGGAACCTCCGTCAAAACATTCAAACGAATTCGCATTTCAAATATGTTCTTGCGTGGTACTTTGTTGCCAATTCTGACCTGCGTAAACTTTGAAGTGTACTTATAGGAATGGTAACAAGCTTTATGGAAGGTCTCAGCACGGACTATTCTACCCAGAGAATGAAAACCGGAGAAATGTCGCTTCGACGCCATCCAAAAAATAGAGTCTTTCCTCAGTGTCATTTGCATCGTCAGAGAGAAATTTATATTTGTTTGTTCATGATCATTTGGTTAGCAAATAATTACAGCAGCCCTGACATTCTAGCTCTCGGGCTTAACCTGACTTTTCATTTTTGAGGTTAAACAAATTTAAGAGAAAATGCCGGAATAAGAAAAGGAAAACACTTCAGAGGGAATACTGTCAAGATAGCGCAATTTTTTATTTCGTACATTCTGCAGCTTTCGAAAACGAAAGCGTGAGATTTATAGGGATTGCGTTATCTATGACGTCAGGTGGTTACCCAGGTTACAGGTGGCCCTTAAGCTGTTTGTTCCAAAACATGATATCATGCAAATACGATCCCTATGAAAATTATTCGCTCGATCTTTCGATAGTAAGCAGTAATGAATACAATAATTTTACAGTTCTACCCTTGGATTTCATTTTCATCGAAACTGAACTAGCTTTACATTCGGTTGCCTCGAAATTAAAATTTTGAGACGGTTTCATCTGGTCTATCAAAGCGTAACAAAAATTTGCATACAGTACTCGCGTCTACTTTGCATGTCGACCTTAAAGTTACATTATATCATTGAAAGAGCGGAACGTGTTTTTGAAGAAGGTCCTATAGATATATATATAAAGCTCTGAGGAAGCTTATGAAGCCAATTTTTAATTCTACTTTGAGATTTCTTCAATTCTCCTACAATTTAGTGTAATTTGTTATCGTGTGTTGTTCGCGTAGTCTCTTAAGCGGAAGTCTGGATATGATCCGTCGTAAGGTGACTCTGGTGCAGTAAATCCGAATAAATGAATTTTTTTTTTTTTTATTGTTATTTTTACAATTTTTTTTATTGTCAGAGAGTATTTAATTTCTGTTTCGTTTCGTCACAATTGATTAGTCAAAACGCAGAGGACACTTAGATGGAACCGTTGTCTGTACTGCGCGTGTTCACGGCAATATCCAATATTGTGCACCACAGTTATTGAATCGTTTGGAGAGGAAATTATAAAAGTTAACGTAGACTAACTTGGAGTTCGAGGTCCGTATGAGAAGGGTTACCATTCCCCCCCTTTACCCTTCTCATAACTTGACTTCCTTTTACAGTTTCTTTTTCTTGTTTCTTCTTTCATATTTCTAACTGCGGTTGAGAAACTTAGCTGAAAGATGAAACTTTATTCCTTACAGGAAATGAATATACACCAATGCATGTTAAAAAGTATTCTCAGGTTTAAAGTATGAATAAGAATAAAAAAAAAATTTCATAGAGAAAACAAACAAACAAACAAACAAACAAACAAACAATCAAAATAAGAACAAAAATAAATGATATGAATTCTAGAGGAGCGAACGGATAACCACCATCGTCTATCCCTTAGCTGCTCCGACTGAGTCCGGCTCTTCTTTAATACCTAGACAACTTTGGTTTTCATCGAAAATGATTAAAACATTGCATGAACTAGTTGAAGAAATAGGAATATTTTGATCGGTTAATTTTGGAATCCATACGTGAGCCTTAAAATGCTTCCTCTTTCTTATGACGCAAACGAGTCAACAGTTGAAAGTTTTTTCATCACACCGTTCTATAAACTCTTACCTACGCGTGCGCAAGGAAAGTCATCTATTCATATACACTTACCATAATCACCGGATAGTCTAACCCGAACCATATATAGATGTTAACCCACTATAACTAAATTCGAGGTCCGGATGGTTGAGGGTTATCTCACATGAATCCGACACCCCTCGCCGCTACTTGACCTCATCATTTCGATTTTACCTCTCTGGCTCCTTTTTTTTAAGTTGTATTGCTACATTCCTCTCCATAAGCAATGTCACTATGTTAATCTGGCGTCAAGTGAGGGTTTGTAGTGTATTTGAAAGGAAAATGGCACGAAACTGAAAACATAATCCTTTGAGGATACTTTTACTCTTCAAACACACACTTCACAGTATGTTTTGTACTAAGATGAAAGCCAATGACACATTCAAAAGGCCTCATCAGCTAAAATCTCGGTTTTAAATGAAGCCCTCGATTATGATTATGTCGACCAGTTCACCTATGGACCCTATGACGTCTGCATTACAATATAGAGACAAACGAAGGAAGGAAGGATTTATTTTAATCAGACGAATGTCCTCTTGCGTTAGATATGCATTAAGAAGGATTTTGCCAAGACGAGATTATTTGTAATAAATTTCAGAAACGCATGTGAATGGTTGAACAGAAAAGTTGAATCAGTCAGTGATGTAAGTGCGTGACTGATACCTGATACGACATGTTCCCCTCATGAATAAATAATCACATCTGGTGAGTCATGCAATAAATATAGTTTCGAATCAAGGTTTTCGTCACAAATCATGAATCGCTTTTTACGGGGGATTTTCAATACAGATTATGTTTGGGCATGAGAAGTTTTCACAGTTGTTTTTTTTTTGCCTTTTCTTTGTGACAAAGTTTCAGTCTTTGTGTATATGACATCACAATACCTCATTTCATCAATTCGTTTTGTTAGCGTGAGTTATTCATGCATTGCTTGCGTGTTCACGCGTGGTCACGTGTAGTCACGCTTAAATAGTCACATAGTCACTCTAATCACAGCGATATGAAACTAAAGTCTCAAAAGTCTCAAAAAGATGGAAATGCAATAAGATGAGAAAATTATTAACGATTAGCAGGCGAAATTAAAAGAAGCATTGATAATTATTGTTGGATAGGGGAACTATGAGGCTTTCTAGCTAGCCCCTTTTAATTATTATTACATTACTATTGTTATCAGTATTATTGTTAATAGTATTATTTGTTACCATTTAATTATTGGTTGAAAATCAATAAATTTTTTAGACCTTTTGTTGTGTAGTATCGCTGAGTATTTTTACGAGTTCTGCCGTACACAACAAAACGTCTAATAAGAGATTTTTTATCCAACACGCCAAATTGTTATTTCAGTGCGGGAAAATTTCGCGGATATTTCTGAAGTACAAATATCGCGTGATATTTGTACTCGTCTCGCGCGTTATTTGTACTCTACGAAGCACAGTTGGATAATAAGACAAAATGTTCTTGATTTATCTTTCTCTTGTGAAACAGGGTACTCATAAATAAGTGGGGATGCGGTGGGTTCCCCGTTTTGCATGTGAGGTGTATATTCTGGAAAACTACCTTTAGCGTCTCTATACAACCTCTAGTTATTTTCAGTGCTTTAAAAACTGTGTTATACCAGTAGCCACATACAGTCTTTGACTGTCTATTTTTGTATTTGGACCTTTGTGCCCGATTTTTGACTTTGGACACCAGCGGCCGATATTTTATTTTCGACACTAGTGGCCAGTTTTGGGTTTTGGGTACTAGTGGCTGATTTTGGACACCAGTGGCTGATTTTTGATTTTGGTCACTGGTGGCCAATTTTGGTTTTTGGACACCAATGGCCGATTTGGATTTTGGACACTAGTGGCCGATTTTGGATTTTCATTCAGAAAGGCAGCTTATTGCGGTGGTAAATGATATGGAAAGGGTTTTAATCGAGAGAATACAAACTTAAGTTCTCCTGTTTCAATAGAATGCTCGGAAAAAATGAGACACCTTCAGAGATCCAAGTATTTTCTCGAGTTTTATCGTCCCACCAAGCACCATGCTCCTTAAAAAGATTATGCCGTTTTTGTCAAGCCATGTTTGCCATTCCTTGTAATGTGCCTGACTCAGGCTTTTCACAGGAAACGTAAGCTATAGGTGAAGGCGACATTCTCGACTTTTGTCAAACACTGTGGATTTTTCTTTAATTGATTTTCCCTTTCCAGAAGTAGGAGCGGGAGACGTTAATTTTAAAAATACATGCCATCTTGAAATGAATGTTTTGAAGTACAACCAGATCGAGAGTCTTGGCTTTGAATGGCTTTGGAAACTTTTACAATGGCGCTTTTATACCGTTCCTACGCTCTAATCTTTGTTACCGAGTCTTATGACGTTTGGTAGTTTTTCAAGCCCCACACGATTGAGAAAATTTATTTCATTGTCAGTTGACCGTTTAAACTTCATGATGGAGGCAAAAAAAGAAAAAAAAAAAGAAAAGAAACTAAAACAAACAAACAAACAAACAAAAAAAGCAACAACAACGACTAAAAACAACTATTCAGATCATGTCTTAACTTTCGTATTGCTTTCCAGATAACTGCATTAGTAACCCGAGTTTGTGTGCAGAAGGGCTCTCCATTGCATTCTGGGTAAAGTTCGTCTCTGGTCAGTACGTTATATCATCAGGCGGAGCGTCAGGGTTTGCCACTGGATTCGATTTTTATCGGGAGTCCGCGGCTGGTGACTTTAGGCTGGTTTTGCAAAACTCCACTAGTGAATGGAGTCTAAAATTGAACGACATACCAACGGTAAGATATGGTTTTAAATGTTCCTGTTGATCCAAATCAATTTTGGAACAATATTTGACTTTACAATGAATATATGAAGTTCATATATTTTGAACTGCGGTATTAAATACGTATGATGCACGATCCTTCGCAGTAGATAGCGCTATTTATGCAATAGCGAAAATCAGACCTGAAAAAAATCAGGCCTGTACGGGATTCGAACCACTGACCTCTGCGATACTAGTGCAGCGCTCTACCAATTGAGCTAACAAGCCAACTGGGAGCAGGCCGTTAAGTTGATTCGTAATAAACCCGTGATGATAAATCAGATACACTGAACATATGAAGTTGACTTTGTTTAAACGACAACAGAGCGCTTGAACATCTAGATCCGATCAGAGGTCACTATTAGAAAGTTATTGTTTGAGAACGCCAATGAGATATCAAAGCGAATCTATACAAACGACTTTAAATTATCTGTCTGGTCGAGAGTTTCAGTAGATACAGTTCCAGGACAGTTCGAGTATTGTGCGTTTGAGTGTCATCCTTGAAATCATGGCATTACGCCGAGAATTGAACTCAAAATGTTTCATTATGATCAATTTGATTCTTCAGAATAATAGCTTTTAAGAGCCCTTCAACCTCCTCTTCCACTCTTAGCACCAGCAGGCAAAACTTGTTAAGAATCAAAGGCTTATCAAAGTTCAGTTGAGAACACATTCTGACTATAGCATTATGTTGGCTTAATTTACCATACCTTACCAGTGAAGCAATTTTTTAGACCAATCACAGAGCGAAGTGTAGGAAAAGAAATTTTTGATCGCTTTCACATTGAATTAAAATTGCCCTTTTTTCGATAAATACAGGATTGGTTTTACTTCACTTTTACATGGAGTGTAGAGGCAGGGTTACGTTACTTTCAAGACGGACAACTGATCGCATCTACACAAGCCCCAGAGAAAGTAACACGTGGAAGCGATATTTTCACCTCATTGACCATTGGCAAACCTAACAATGTTGAGAGTCCTCAGTATTATGGAAACTTATCGGTCAGCGATCTTCTAATTTGGCGCAAGCGCCTTACTGATGAGGAAGTCCTGCATTCCTATAAAATATCACGTAGGTGTTGATAAAACGTCTTCATCTCTGTCACGAGTAGTAACTTGGCAAAATCCAAACTTGGCAAAACCCCATTTGTCATAAGAAAATGGTTTCGGTACAAAATGTGAACCATGAATTTAAATGAGGAATTAGTCTGTCTTTCAGTTTTGAGGTCAGCGACGATCAGATAAAGTTGAAATTTTCAGTCCGGTAATATTAAAAATTATGTTATAGATGTGTTCCTTACACTTTGCCTTGCAGCATTCAAATTTCGATGCTTTCAAGCTGTCCTTTAATGTTGCTCCTAAACGTCAGTGGCCTCAAAATTGGAAATGAAATTTATTTATATCTCCCTTTTTTCTTTCTTTGTATCCCCTTTATTGCCCTACGACCAATTGACAACCTCAGGGCAACGAGATAAAATATATTTATTGCAATTTTATGTCAATCGGTTCGTCCTTCCTTCAGCATCCATTGATCAATTAGTTACTCTGTGGGTCTTTCAGGTTAGGTTTTATGAAATGAACTATTTCAATTCCAGGACATGTTACGGGGAAAGATATGCCAAGCTCTCCCCAGTACAAAGACAAGTTCGCACTGTCAGACTATGGCGTAATAACTGCCATTGGAGTACTGGATCGAGAGACCAAGGCGAACTATAGTTTCGAGGTACGTGCAATGGATCTAGATCCAATTCACCCTCGATACAATACAACCGTTGTGGCAATGCAAGTCCTGGATGCGAACGATAACCCACCGGTATTTGAGAATGCAAGCTACTTCGCAGATCTTCTGGAGCATTCTAGTGTAGGATTTGTCGCGTTGCAGGTGAAGTGAAAAAAGAATTTCTGTCATTTCTTCTTAAATAACATGCTTATTTAATTTACCTTAGCTTGAGGCGGTGTTTCTGGGCGTGGAGTTGTTGCAATGCATCGCTGAAATTGTACCCAGGTTCTTTCGGGTCCCAAATAGTACAAGTTTTCTGTTTAGCTGAATGGCACTCCCTCTGTAACTTATCCCGACTTGCTGCTCCCACATGATAAGATGCACGTCCATTACAGGTTAATCCACAGAATTTCGTGAGGCTTTCTTGACGGTTCAGCTCCGCTACTCACTAATACTCCTGGGTGGAGAGAGGCACAAGTAATGTTTAGTGTCCTGGCCAAAAGCACAACATAAAGATCCCGCCAGATCTCATGCCCAGACCTCTCAATCCTGAGTCCCTTAAATTGCGGTCACATATCGCCGGGGTACCTTTTAAACGCACTAGGTAAGATGATATAGGTAATGCGGTCGGTCAGAGGTTAGTGCGCTTAGCTTCGGAGCGAGGGGTTATTGTGTTGTGGGACCTTCCTGAGAAGGAACCTTTTACGGTTGAAAGAAGCTTTTTTAATGGTAAATAGTTGAATTGTAGGCGCTATAACACCCGAGGACATCCTGTGATAGGTTAGCACTCCGTCGGGGAAGGCTAGCAACGTTTAGTAAAATTGGGATAAGCACTGGCATTGATGAACCACTAGTCTCTTTATTTTCAACACTAGTTTGTGACGTTTTCAATAAAACGCTTTTTGCTAGGTTCGGGCAGATGACACTGACCAGGGTGTGAAAAGCGTAGTATCTTACAGCATAGTCAGCGGTAATGTAAGGAATGCATTCACTATCGATGTTATGACAGGAGAGATTAAAGTCGCTAGGGATCTGGACCGAGAAGATATGCATCAGTACGTGCTGGGAGTAGAGGCCAGCGACGGTGAGAAGTCTTTTCTAAGATAAGAAAAGCAATTTAACCAATAGATTATGAAAAATAAAAGGATATTAGCAGCGTTCAAAGCGGTATTGATTTTGCTAATTTAAAGTCTTCTTTACTGCGAGAAAAGGAGCATTATTTTTAAAACAATCAGAAAAAAACCTCTGTATAGCATCGTTATTTGTTGAATGGCTTTGCTTGGGTAAACTTTCTTGACATCAATTAGATGCAACTTGCTGATCAAGACTTCATTGTCACCTAGAAGGAACTTAAAAGATATTGTACCTCTTCTTCCCTGTGTTTTGTTTGTTCTTTCGTTTTTCGAAACTTGTATGCACATCTTATTGCAGAGTATTTCTATCGAACGATTTACGCGAGAGAGAGGATCTTACCAAGTTTGCCGGTATGTGTTTCTTTCAGGTGGTTCGCCGTCATTACAAAGCACTGTGCAAGTGACAATAGACATTGCAGATTTGAATGATAATGCCCCGAGCATTACACCAAGTTCTTACATTGCAGGCGTCATGGAGAATTTACCTTCTGGTCAAAGCGTTCTCAGTGTAAGTATCCAGGAGGACACTTTCATGGCATACAAAGCTTTGTGCAGCGCTGAAAGTGTAGTTTTGGACCCCTTCAGTTTGAATCTTGTGATGTTTTCTTTGTTGTTGGAGTTATACGATTGACTAAGATTGGCGCACTGGTATTCAGACCGAAAGGCTCTTGGCGCGAGCCCTGGCCTATCTGGATTAATGTTTCTTACTCTCAAGCAAGAGACTTTTAAGTTAAAACTCTCCGTATGCCTTTCCCCATCTAGAAATACAGATAAGGACTAGCAAAATTTCACAAAATTCCGATATCATGGTGGTGGGAGGTAAGCTGCGTTGAATTAGCATCTCATCCTGGGGGAGTCAGTGACAGTGTATCAACTTTTATCTTGAGATTCCGATGTAGTTTGTATTCCACAAAAACTTTTCTCTGTTCATGGAGCCATAGGGTCTTTTTTCTCATGTCATACCCTTCTAACTCCCAGAGGTGTCTTTGTCCTTTATTCCCATACAGCTCTCGGTCAAAGATGCCGATCATGGCTCAAATGGGCGAGTTACTTTTTCTGTAAACAGCAATAAGTTTGCTGTAAATTTAACAACTGGCATTCTCTACACAACTCAACCGCTGGACAGAGAGGAGCAGGCTCAATACCAACTGACTGTAGTGGCTACTGATGGGGGAGGGGGTGCTGCAAAGGTTTGGAACTAAGTTATTTTTATTGGTTAGCTACAGTAGGAATATCAGATAAAATCAAGGGCCATTACTTGAGCGAACCACAGTCTTACTGTGCGTCTTTTTAATAGAGTTACTTTTAAACAGTTTAGTTAAGTTTCAGGTTTAAAATAAAAAGGAACAAAGGAACACGAAGAGGAAGCGTTTGTTATAGTAAACCCGGTTAATAATAAAATGCAGAGGGAAAAAATAACTTCAAGTGAACAGAGAACAAATTAGCGTATATGTTTCTCTTCTTCTTTCGATGAAGGTCGTATTTTTCTGTCTAATTTCATTTATATTACTCTGAGATTTTCAGACATTTTCAAATGATTCTTTCGAATGATTGCCGTGATACATTCCTTTCATTGTACCCATGCTTGATTGCTTTTGGAGCTTATTGGGACAGCAATTTTGGGGCGAAATTCTTCTTTCTCTTCGGGGACTGTTTCGCAAACATGTGTAACATGTAAGCGAGGAAGGTCAAGCCCTTGCTTAAATTTTTGTTTTCGACATGTTTGTCATTTCCATTCTGTCTTTTTTCTACAGAGCACAAGTGTGTCTTTAGAAGTTAACGTCGAAGATCAAAATGACAACCGGCCACAATTCACTGAGTCTGTTTACTTGGTAGCTATCAGTGAGAATGCCACTGTGTCGTCATCCATCATTCGGGTGTCAGCTGATGACCCAGATTACGGCAATAACGCTGATTTGATATTCACTCTCACGGGAGGGGACGGGGTCTTTGCGATCAACAGAACATCTGGTAAGTGTATTAAATTTTCATAGGGTAAGAAAACCTGGATTACTTTATGGTTTACTTTTTATCCTGACCTCTGACCGGTCTAGAAATTCACTAAAAGTAAAGGGAGGCGCAGTGGCGTCCTGGTTAGTGCGCTCGACTCTGGATTGAGCGGTCTGGGTTCGAGCCCTGGCCGGGGACATTATGTTGTGTTCTTAGGCAAGACGCTTTACTCTCACAGTGTATGTCTTCACCTGGGTGTTTAAATGGGTACCGGGGAATTTAATACTGGGGGGTAACCCTGCGATGGACTAGCATCCCATCCAGGGGGGAGTAGATACTCCCTACAAAAACCAGAGGTAAACACCGGTCTGGTGAGCTACTTGGCTCATAAACAAACAGACTCTAAAACGAAAACGAATTAAAGCTTACAAAAGGGTACCGAGTTTACTCATTACTACTCAGTGTTGTTACTGACTCTATTTGATAAATTCCTTTATTCTGATTGGTCGTGGATTTGTTCATCTGTGGTATCCTAACACTCAATCATGAAAAGTAACGAAAACGTTTCCTTGCTCTGAACGAAGTGAAATTGCAGCCATCTTAACAGACTTTTTTTTTTAACCCAGAATTTGTTAGTAAATTCAAGTTCCAGCTGAATGTCGTCACAGCGTCGGAGTTCAATCTATAAAAATAATTACAACTAATTGAGGCCATATTTTGAAAACTTTCTTTTGTTATTTTAGGCGTTATCAGCATCGTGACCAAAGTTGATCGTGAAACCAAACCCAACGGCTATTCACTGATTGTGACCGCGAGAGATCATGGGTATCCCGTGCCCCAATCTTCTACGGTCTTGGTCAATGTAACAGTATCTGACGTGAACGATAATGCTCCTCGGTTTGATAAATTTACGTATTTAGCTGAAATCAGAGAGGACAGTGATATCGGTGCAGTTGTTACCGCAGTTCATGCAGTGGATGAAGACGAAGAATTGGCTGGGGAGATTGTGTACTCCATCACAGGTCTAATAACTCACTGAAGACTTGCAAATTTGTTGTCAAAGTTTAAGAAACAATTCGTGACTCGTTGAAACAAAGTTATCACCCATCATTGTTTCACTTCCATGAGAGAATCGGTTTAGTTTGAAATTTAAGCATAGGAAGTCTATTTTCTTTCGCTAGAAATGCTTTATTTCGCCTAACATGGCCAAGCACGGAGGCAAACATCTAGGACTGTAAATTTTAATTTTATTTAGAAGGTGATCACGACTCAGGAGTTTTGAGCCGATCCGAAAGCAATAGTTTCCAATTCTTTTTTTAATTTCGGGTCAATTCTAAGGCCTGTTCACCTTAATTCTAGGTTGAATTTTCGTTTTGTTGTTGTTTATAGCTGGTAATGATGGAGGCGTGTTCTCCATTGATTCATCGGGAAATATAACAGTCATTAAAAAGTTGGACAGAGAAACGAAGAGTGCTTACGAACTGACAGTTACTGCCCAGGACCGCGCAGGTAGGCCAATAAAATTGATGACAACTAGTCCATTCAAAGAGATATTTTCTTGGTTATGATTTGGACCAGAAAAATAAGGGTTTTTTTTTTATTACAAAGGCCTTGAGTAACCTGGTTAATTATTTTATTTCGGGTTGATAATAACAATCAATTGCCAAGGTAAAAAATGCGCTCAACTTTGGTTCCCGCGTCCGTGTAACAGAGGTTTCCGCTGATTTCAGGTTCATCTTACCGTAAATGTAGGAGAAAAAACAATTTGGGACGTGCGCTAATGTTTGCATTACGCAGGGTGTCTGCTAATTATGGGATCCGCCATAGAAAGGTTTCGGTGTAATATTGTTTGCCATTAAACTTTTTATTACATTTCATACTCTGATTTTCAGGGGAACCTAAATCTGCAAGTGTTGAAGTGGATGTCAACATAGCTGATGCCAATGACAATCCACCATTCTTCCGTGCGCTCCCGCTGACCATTCTGATCAGCGAGTCTGCACTTCCTGGCATGCCTGTCTATACCTTGATCGCCGATGACCCGGATGTTGGCAGTAACAAAGTTCTCACCTACGCGGGGTACTCCGCTGAGGGAAAATTTGCAATCAACGCAGATACTGGAGTAATAACAACAATTGGGAAGTTAGACTTCGAAAAACAACAGAAGTAAGTGAGGCAATGTGCGTCCTGGACTCCTTCGTGTTTGTTGTTAGCCCATTGGAACTGATACATGTTAAACACCAAGACTCCTATTAAGCTACGTGTCAAATGGTACTGTAATGTAACTTACACAAAAAGAAAGTCGTCGGAATTTCATCTAGCGTTGTTTTCACCGACTTCTCTTTCTCTCTAGTTACACATTCTATGTCGTGGCAATGGATCAAGGCACTCCACCGCTCAACAGCTCTAAACTTCATGTAAACATCACTTTGGTTGATGAAAATGACAATAATCCCAAATTCGAGCGGCCCATGTATAGTGTGGAGGTCTGGGAGAATGAGACAATCGGTGGTCACGTGGTTCAGGTCAAGGCGACGGAGAGGGACTCGGCCATTGGGTCTCGTATTGGGTATAACATCTCGGCTGGTGATCCATATGGACAGTTTAAGATATTTTATGACTCGGTGAGTTGTTCAATTGGAGCCTTGAAGAGAAATCGTCACCTTGAGATGCACACTGATTTTTCGCCCAAATGGCATTCTAAAAAATTAAAACTTATTTTTTTAATAGGGAATCATCGTAGTTCTGAAGCCTCTTGATAGAGAAATTATACCAAACTATACGCTTCGTGTGAGGGCCACAGACAACGGGAACCCACCTCGGTACGGTGAAACATCGGTGAGTTACTTTATACAGTTAACTTGCGATAAGAATGTAGGTCAGCAATTGAAGAGCAGAAGATAGTAAAATGTAATAACATAAAATCAATTTGTTTCAGGTGACAATTTTGCTGAAGGATATAAATGACCGCACCCCAGTTTTTCAATTCCAAGATTACCAGAGTGAAACTTCAGAAGACAGTTCTGTGGGGACCAGTGTGACAACAGTAGAAGCCACAGACAAAGATAGCCTGGAGAATACAGTGGTATTATTCCTGTTAACGTTCCTCAAAGCAAACGGTCTCAAAGACGTTGATTAGAAATAATACGATCTGCATTATAGTTTTCCCCTGTAAGTGACAGTGACCATTAGGTCCTCACTGGTAAACTGCAATGAAAACAATGGCAGAGAATGATGAAATAATTAAAAAAAGTGTCGACTTCGTCAAGAATTAAATCCGTACGTTGCTACCAGTTTAACGCTAATCAAGTAAAATGCGAAAGCAACATGTTGAGAATGGGGCTGATTCAGAATACAACCATTTTATTTTTCTTGTGAATCTTGCATTGTTACGCAGGGCTCAATCATCAGTTATGTAGGGCTTATCTTCAACCATGAGTTGAAAACTATGCAATTTGGGATACGGACACAAATTTTTATTCTATTCCCGTCAGCTATTAAATTATCAACCTGAAAATCAAAACTTGGGATTGGTTTCCCAAAAGTTGGGAAGCTCTAAATGAGTATAACGATGTCTATGCTAAGCAATTTTTGATTTCTCCTCTGTAAAAGCGTGTATGATACCCAACTTTTGTGGGGTTTTATTAGTTCAAGGCAGAACTAAAGGATAATGTGATTGAAGCAGGAAAAACTCTTTAGAGAGCCATAAGCTTAGCTCGCAATATTTCTGGTCTCTCTGCTATTTCAGCTGACATACAGCATTCTGAGTGGTGATCCGAATGGCAACTTTGGCATAACGACGACCAAAAGTGGCGGGAAATACCTTGGGGTGATAACCGTGGCAAAGCCACTGGACCGGGAAACAAAAGATCTTTACAAACTAATCGTAAGTAGACCATGATGTTAAATATTTGCCGCCCTATTTTTATCATAGTTTGCGTTGTAAATCTAGTAACTTGCTCTCGATTGTGGTCCGGCTTGAGCCCCACTGTTATGTTCATGGGACAGAAACTTTAAGAGTTAACTAATACTCTTAACTTCTCAACCGGGGATAAAAATTATCTCCCGGTAAACTGCTAAGGAAACTGAAAGAAAAAAAAAAACCAGCAACAACAACTGAAAAATCCAAAGTCCATGTCAAGGTCTGATGCTACGGAAATTGGGATACAAGCTCCGACATTAGGGGTGCACATTAAGGTTCTTAAATTTTCAAACGTTTTGTCTTATCTTTTGAGTAACCCGCTTGACTGTAATTCACTCCAATCGTTTTAGATATTTGTGTCAGACGGTCTCCACAACAGTAGTGTGATACTGGAGATCCGACTCACGGATGTGAATGACAGGAATCCAGAGTTTAATGCCTCGATTCAATATTCAGCAGATGTGCCAGAGGTGAGTCGTAAGGGTTTGTGCCAGATTGCATAATTCTTTTCAATGCTTTGGGTGTCTGAAATGACGATTAGGGCTCAGTTGTTTAAATAAGGATTAGTTTGTCCTCCATTAACTTTTGCCTACTTTAGATTCATTATCATTCTTCTGTGATTTTTGTCTCATTGAAATTTACTTGTGAAATAGATTCAATTGAATGCAAGTATCGATTTTCGTTTAAACAACCTTACAAAAGCAATCGTACACAAGCAATCTTACACATGGAACGTTACTACAGGAATTTACCTCACTTTCCCTACGAGAGCAGATTCAAGAAAGTCAGTTATGATGAATTTAAGTGCCAGAGAAGTATTTGCAAACCCGAGAAGAAAGAAGAGTGGCGCCTAAAATCGTCGTTTGCTCTTTTACCATTTACTGTTGTCAAATTCTTTCGTGTCGCAAACAGAGACTCTAATTCCTTTTTTTTCTTTTGGTAGATGTCACCTAGCGGACTGTTTGTTCTCCGTGTGCGGGCGACTGATGCGGATCTCGGCGACAATGCAAGAATAACGTACAGCCTTGAAGGTACTGCACGCAAAACATCAACTGTTTTGTTTGTTTACTGAATGATTTCGTCAGTTTTTTTTTTTCGCGTCAAATCTATTCGAAGCTCTGGTGCATTCGTATGGGAATAATATTATTCGAGCATCTCTAGAAAACCGTGCGAGTAGGGGTTTGGTGCATTGCTTGCGATGAACGCAACAAAAGTATTGATTGTTGCACTGAATTTTTTTCGTGACAGGATCAGACGGTAAATTTACTGTTGAGGCAAACACCGGTGAAATCAGGACAGGTCCAGCTTACCTTGACAGAGAGGGAAAGGGTGTTTATCGAATGACTGTAGTGGCAACCGACACAGGAAACAAACAGGTGAGCGAGAGATCGATCTGAAATGTTCTTACTTTCCTCTGCACAAACAACAGCACTGAGATTCCTGTCAGACATGGCTATTCTTTTTCTTATCTTGGAGGAAGTTTATGAGTTATGACCCATTGCAATTGACAATATTTAATAATCATGTTTGCTTCAGCAAAAACTCCTACTGAAACGAATAAATCACAAAAAAATTCAGTTTTTACATATTTTGCTTTCTTTATTTATCAGGGTCGCAAGGAAGTGACTGTTCACGTGACAGACATAAACGACAACTCTCCAAAGTTTGTTCCACAAGTCATGACGGTGACACTTACTGAGGGCAACGATACGGCGGGAATATACGTGATACAAGTAAATGCTACCGATTCGGATGCCGGGGACAACAAAAACATTACCTACTCTATCAATGGAGGAAATCTGGGAGATGTCTTCCTTATTGATGGAAACACGGTAAGATAAAAGGAGTCATAATGTTTGCAAAGGATTTAAGGAGAAAATCTTGTTTTTATTTGTAAGGCAAGTGCAGGTTTATGTTCATATACGAGCAAATAAAACAGTTATATAGGTACAGTAAAACATTTTGCAAGAGCGTATGCATGGACCACGACGGCTACGGCAACGAGAACGTGGAAAAACAATAGATCTAATTGGCAGAACAATAGCCCAGCACGTACGTTTTAAAACTTTGTACATTTCTTAGCCGTCCTTTGCAAAACAACAACGTGAAATCACCAAAATTTGCGTCGTCTGCGAAGCGAAACCGCGGCGGCAAATTATTTTAATTTACATTTAGAACTCAACGCTACTTTTATGCGTTATGTTGAGTTTGAGGTCTGGCGCCCTATGAGACGGTAAACACATGCAGCCACTTTCGAAATTTTAACTAAAAGTAGAAACTCATTTTTTAATCGACGTCTTCCGTGGCGTTGCCGTCCTGACTGCTTAAAGTCCCTGTTACAAGCAGGGTGGGGGTTGGGGGGATTGGTAACTTTAGACTATGCTATTGAGGGTTCACGCCAAGTTGTTTTTTTATTGAAAACCCAGGGGATCACCTACACCGTTCGTACTTCTTCCCACTATCTGTACCCTTCGAGTCTGCATGGCATTATTTTGTTCCATATCTTTTGTTTGAAAATGGAAGCTCAAATTGCAAGCATCGATTTCGTTTGGTACTCTCTCCTTTTACTAGATCTTTAGCAGTTACTTTTGTACGCAGTAGAAAGTAAAAGTTTGAACAAGTTTGTTTGAAGCTTGAGTTTTTCTTAAAAAAAAAAATATTAAGGTTCATTCTTCGCTCATCATTCACATGCCTTTTATTTCTATTCAGGGTTTGATCACGACATACAAAGACCTTGACCGGGAGGCACCTGGGCTGGCAGTCGATAAGCACGGCAGGGGAGTGTATACGTTATTGGTCGCTGCCACTGACCATGGCTCGCCTAAACAGCGAAATACAGCGACGGTAATTTATCGAAGCTCCGTTGTTTATGAGAATCTTACTTTTACATGATCCTCCTATTTGCATTTATCGATGAACGTTTTGATTGCTTGCAGTGTGTCGTTGTTTCGTCGTCAATCGTAGTCAAAACTGATCCTTTCCTTCTATCTACCTTTTCCTCAGCCCTTCTATTTTGTGAAGTTGTTCATCAGGATGGGGGTGGTGTAGAAGAAAACGAAAAGTAAAAACGTTTTTTTGCGATATAGAATTGCGATATAGAATTACACTTCGAAAATCTCGCAAAGGTTGTCGAGATTTCCTTCATTATCGCCGACAACAGTTCTTTGTTGGACCAAAACCAACAATCACACTACACTTTCTGATACCTTTTACTTCGCTGTCTGTAAGTCTACAATCGACGTTTAAATCATGATTATTTTGAGAACTCAACCATGGTTAATATTGCATATCTTATACGCAATTATTTCAAAGAAATTGCTTGCTTGCCCATGGAAACTGGAAACTCTCTTTTCAGGTACATGTGCTTATCGAGGATATAAACGACAATACACCGTTGTTCCCACCTAATGGATACAATGTTAAGATATCGGAAGGAGCCAAAGCTAATAGTGACGTCATTGCTGCAGTTGCTGTTGACCCGGATGCTGGAAATAATGGGAAACTTGTTTACGAGTTGATATCCGGTAACACAGGAGGTATGTTAGTACTCTCTCTGATTTGCAGTTGTTGGCGCGCGCATTAAATTCCACAGACTTCATTCTTTAGTCTTCGAACCCCAACAGATCTAATTTCCGAAGGATCATACCCCTGTCCAAAGTATATTTTCGATCGATCACATAGTGTGGTCGCCCGGTCATAGAAAGAAGGCTTTTACACTGAGTCCTTGACAATGACTGACGTTTCTATTATTTAATGAATAGTACCTCAAGAGAAGGAGCATTTTTTATTGAAACTATCACATACCTAACAAAATTGAACCCTTATTTTTTTTTAAAAGGCGATTTTTCGCTGGATCCTCAGACAGCCATGATCAGAACTCGCAAGAATCTTGAGCGACAACAGACATTCTCCTACAATCTTACCATTGGCGTGTCAGATCAAGGAAAACCTGCACGGATTGCAACGGTAAGTATAAACTTTCTAGCATCTTTTACGAGACTTCAGTCATTTCCTAAGTAAATATGCCCATTTTTTCACACCTATTCCCTTGCTTTACTTTACAGCGCACTCTAGTTTTTTGTGGCACTGAAGGTAGAAAAGCGCGTGTCTAAAAATCAATTTGGCCGCCAAAGGTCCAGAGGCTTTTTTTTATTCAGTCATCGCCAATTTTTCTTATTCCCTCTCAATTTTTTTCTCGATAAAGTCGTCAAAAAATTCTTAATCTACGCATTTGCAGTGTTTCCTTATTGTTCTATGGAGCTCTCAGATCAAGACCTTTTAACATTAGCTTGTGGAGCATTGACTTCCATATCGTAATGCATTTTACTTCTCTTTAGACTCAAGTCTACATTGAAGTTGGTGATATAAACGACAACGACCCAGTCTTTGATCCGGTCAACTACACAGTGTCTGTGTTTGAAAATTCACCCGTGGGGACAGCCCTAATAAATGTTACAGCAACAGATGCGGACAGCGGACAAAACGCTCGGATTACCTACAGTGTCACTTGAGGGGATCCTTTCTCTGTGTTCACTGTCGATACGCAGGTACACCAACAATGAGGTCTTTTTCTTAAAAAAATTGAGAGCCCCTCAGAACAACGGCAGTGTAACGGAATACGATCAAGCTTAGAGTTTGTAATGGTCACATTAAATTCTGAAAATTCCCCACTACCTAAATTAGATTGTGAAAGAAGGAAGATAAAGTATATAGAAGTGGTGGATGAGAGAAACGGGTACTGAGATAAGCAAGAGTGAACAAAATAGCAAACAATATACAGAAAAGGCATGTCAGTCATTTAAATTGAAGTCGTTTTAATTTCTTTCTAAAGAAAGTGGGATATCAATGAATGAATTATCTTTTGGAAATATCCTTTGGGAAGTATAAAACATATAAATAATTTTGTCCTTGACATTGAACTCTTGTCTGTTCTTGCACTTTTCGTGCAGGGAAGTTATGGAACGGTTAAAGTTAAAAGTCATGTTGATCGGGAACAAAGAAACAACTACACTCTAACTGTGACCGCGGCTGACGGAGGAGTTCCACTCAGTAGGAAGGTAATATTCAAGCAATAATATTAAGAAAAAAAAAATCAGCAATATTCAACTGAATGTCGATATTAATTCGAGATTGCATCGGTTTCGTGTTACAAAGCTCTGTTATTGGTCGACCCAATTTGTCCCACTCTCTTAACCAATCAAATCATTTATCCAGGAGGTTTCATTGATTTAGTTTTTTAAATAGATACATATTTCGTTCATTGATGGCTAAGACTATCCTTTTGATATTATATTCGATTCAATCCTGTGTTTCTTTGTAGGCTTTTGCTACAGTGTTTGTAACAGTAGTAGATGTGAACGACAACGCACCAAAGTTTACTCAAGCTATGTATACTGGGAATATAATGGAAAACTCCATAGCTGGGACGACTGTGAACATGGTGAGTACAGATAGGCTAAAAGATAACTTTGTGAGGCGGAATGATAGTCTGTAACAAACCTTTTTCTGAAGAATAGTTGAATGGATCGTTAGCATTTTTCAATACCACGTTTTTACTTATGCGATTAGAACCTATTTGGCCTTAAACTCTCCATGAAGCACATTGTAAACTTCCATTTTTGAAGGAATGCGGTGTCCTGGTAAATTGTAGAGTTTGTATGAACTCTTCCATGTTGTAGAAGACTCAAAAGTAACTCTCCTATTTACATTGATCCTTGCAAGACGCTTTTGCCGCACACGTAGGGCAAACATTTGGCCCTGCTCACGAGCGAGTTTACTCTTGTGCAGTCGGGAGGTGATCTATTCGCAAAAATTAGAGAATATAATGCTCTAATCACAGCAGTTATTCAAAATTTTTTCCTGCGCTCGCAACGAATTTTTAAAATCCTTCTTGATATGTTCGTTTTCTTTTTCAGCACCAAAAGATTAAAGCTACAGACCTTGATGAAGGTCTATACGGAGAGATCCGCTATCACCTCAATGGTTCCGAAAGACATCAGTTTGCCATTGATCCAATTACAGGCATCATTTCCACGCGAAAATTTCCTCTGCCGACACTGGACCACGAGAGGATTGAAAACTATTCCTTTTTTGCGGTAGCTGTTGACGAGACGGGCTTTGGGCATGCTTCGTCCGTGCCTGTTAGGATACAGGTTATCGACGTTAACGACAACGTTCCCAGATTTGAACCAACGACGAAAAGTGCAACTATCAGTGAGGATTCTCCAGTTGGTTTCTCAGTGACAAACGTTTTTGCTGTAGACCCAGATCATAATCTTAACGGAAAAGTGTCTTATTCGCTGATTTCTGGAGCAGATGGAAAATTTGAGATTGGAAGAAGCGACGGAGTTATTCGCGTAATTGGTGATCTGGATCGAGAAATGAAAGAACACTATGTTCTAAATGTTTCAGCTTTAGATGGTAGTTATTACCCGCTAGAAGGTTTTGGTTTTGTTCATGTTACTTTGTCAGACGTGAACGACAATATACCGCGATTTGAAAAATTGGTCTACAAAGTTACAATCTCAGAAGATTCCTCAGTCGGTAGTTTACTTGTAAATCTCACAGCTAAAGATCCAGATTATGGGTTAAATTCTGATGTATCGTACTCCATGAGCCACCCTAAGTTCACGATTGACCCCAAAACGGGGAGCGTGACAACCACAGGGAAACTGGACCGAGAAACTCAAGACACATATTCATTCATCGTACGTGTTCAAGATGGTGGAGGTCTGGGATCAAGTGTAGCTGTAAATGTGGTGATATCAGACACAAATGACAATTCTCCTTATTTCCTGAGCGAGAGGTACAAGACCGACGTTATTGACAAGACGCCGGTTGGTACAATAGTGTTAACCATTGTTGCAGAAGATAAGGATGTCCATGAAAATTCCCGCATTGTATATCTCATTGCTGATGCGAAGGACGACTTGTTTAGTGTCGACCCAGAAGACGGGTTTATAAAGTAAGTTAAAGACTTGTTTTCGTTTCATTACTTTTAAATAGAAACCCTTACATACAATATCAGAGAAATGCTTTGAAAGCAGTCAAATGAGTAAATGTGTATATTTTTAAACTTTATTTTGCTTCATGTCATTTGTTATTCTCAAAAGGAGTGCCATTGAAGCGATAAGGTAGATTATATCGATACCCAGATTATATGAACTCGGAGAAAGATCTCAAAAGCAACGTAGGGAATCCAGCTTTTTGGGGATGTCCGAAGAGAGGCATGCAAACCAAAGCCAATTGATCGCAGTTGCTATCTAAATTACGAATAACATTTTACCTCATCCCATGCAATTCAAATTGTATTATTTGTTGGATTAGGGTAAATTATATCGTTATTTCTAATCCAGCTTCTTTGATGATCCAGCTTAATGTTTAATTTCGTATCTCATTTTTCCTGTCAGGGTTCACAAGCCAATCAATCGTATCGATCTCCTCCGACGTGATGTGATTGACGTCAATGGTTCCTTCGTTTTTAAGGTGGTGGCACGTGATCAGGGTATCATTTCTCGTTCATCCAACATCACAGTAGAGATGAACATTGTGGATGCAGGCGATGACAGTCCAGTGTTTAACAGGTGAAGGCAACGTAACGAAGAAATGAGCCTTTGACCGGGATGATGATTGACCTACTTCAGAAAAGACCAAATTTTGAATGACTTATTGAATGTTTGACAGACTTAGTTTGATTAAGTTAAATTTTAGTTAAATAAAAATTTACTAAGGTAGGCTCCACGAGCTTAGTGGGTATTTGTAATTAGCGGTCATTCTTATGAATGCACGATTACATGTAAGTTTGCAACTTTTTTACAGCTAGAATCTTCGAGTTAATGAGCTGTTTGGAAGCCGCTGTTTTCAGCAGTCATAAACGGTTTTGTAGCGGTAGCTTTTAATTAAGTCCTTCCCCACCCGGACCCTCCCTTTTTTTGCTTTTCAGTGATCTAATTAGTGTTGATAGGTGCCTGGGATGGGGGCTCAATGCTGGTTTGTAGGGATGTGTCAGACATAGAGGTAGTATTCCATCTGGTGGCTGACTGGCGAGAATGATAGGCGCGGTATACCCCAAGCACCCGCCTTCCATTTCAGCGAGCCAGCGTATAGGACTTGACCTCTGTAATGGAAGACTAACGAACAGCTAAATGGGAGACAAGATGATCCGACTGAATATCCGACTGCCTGACGAAGGCTATTACACGTAATTAAAAAAAAACATCAAAATTGATCAACAAAGTGGTTTTGAGTCTGCCATTTGATAGTGAATATTACTTGATGGTTTTCATCTTTTCTTTGCATCGTAGATCATCTTATGTAGTCAATGTTACGGAAAACCAACCATCAGGAACTCCAATTTTGCAAGTTGTAGTTTCAAAGCACAGGCCTGGAGCAGTTCTCGCATACAGTATTGTATCTTTACAGGACGAGTTCCAGATTGAACGAAGCACGGTAAGGCTACCGTTTATATTACACTACACAACGCGAGAATGAGATATCAGCTAAATAAACTTCTTCGTGCAGCATGGAAAGTACTTAAGTAATTCGTTCCTTGTCATCTAACTATAACAGTCTAGTATAGAAATTCTGAAGTTTTAATTATTGCAGATTCTGTGGATTTTNGCAAAAGGCCTATTCGTTACCATCGTTTATATACGTCACAAATTTGTATAAGAGGCGTGGTGGTGAAAGAAGTGCTTTGTTCAGTTATTGCGCAGTAGTGCTTTGTTCAGTTATTGCGCAGTAGTGCTTTGTTCAGTTATTGCGCAGTAGTGCTTTGTTCAGTTATTGCGCAGTAGTGCTTTGTTCAGTTATTGCGCAGTAGTGCTTTGTTCAGTTATTGCGCAGTAGTGCTTTGTTCAGTTATTGCGCAGTAGTGCTTTGTTCAGTTATTGCGCAGTAGTGCTTTGTTCAGTTATTGCGCAGTAGTGCTTTGTTCAGTTATTGCGCAGTAGTGCTTTGTTCAGTTATTGCGCAGTAGTGCTTTGTTCAGTTATTGCGCAGTAGTGCTTTGTTCAGTTATTGCGCAGTAGTGCTTTGTTCAGTTATTGCGCAGTAGTGCTTTGTTCAGTTATTGCGCAGTAGTGCTTTGTTCAGTTATTACGCAGTAGTGCTTTGTTCAGTTATTGCGCAGTAGTGCTTTGTTCAGTTATTGCGCAGTAGTGCTTTGTTCAGTTATTGCGCAGTAGTGCTTTGTTCAGTTATTGCGCAGTAGTGCTTTGTTCAGTTATTGCGCAGTAGTGCTTTGTTCAGTTATTGCGCAGTAGTGCTTTGTTCAGTTAGTGCGCAGTAGTGCTTTGTTCAGTTATTGCGTAGTAATACTTTGTTTCTGTGGCGGCATGAGGACACAAGCTCATTACGTTTATTGACTGATGGTAATTCAGGTCGGTAGATGAGGAGTAGTTTTTCTTTTAGGCAGAGGTTGCATCTTTTACATGCGCTACTGTGGGGTGATCTAGATGAAAGGAATCACACAGTAATCTCGTGTGTGGGAATTTAACGTCTCCTTCCCCAACCCTGCAGGAGACGGGACCTCCATTTGTTCGTCCCTATCCGAGAAGACTAGAATATTTAACCATTTCTTGATGTTATAGAAAGGCAGCAAGTTCTTCTCTCTTCAGTTTGGGGAAAATAAAACTTGGATTTTAGAAATTTTTGCATCTAACAAAAATAGTATTTACAAACTCCCATATAGGGCGAAATTTCGACATTGATGTTGCTAGACAGAGAAGTTCGTGATGATTATGTGTTCACCGTTCCAGCCATGGATAACGGACAAACTCCGCTCAGTGGCTACACTTCGGTAAGAAAACAATCAAACAACACACTAAGGTAGAGGACTTATGTTTAAATCTTAAATTGCCGCTATCTGTTCCTCAATCTTCCTAGTCATTGCACTTGTTTGGTTACAGAAAGGGTAGAAGCTAGCTTTTCGACTATCCTTATGCACTGAGGATATAATTCAAAGTCATCAAACCTTATTCGTCTGTATCATATAAACCCACATAGCAGTCCACATTAATGTAGGCTACAGTTCAACGAACAGCAAAATTTGGCTCTGATTTAATTTTTTGTTTTCTGATATGTAAGTATACATCTATGCTAGAAATGGATGAACTGCTGCTATTAAGACAATTTTTTTACTCTTGCTGTAATCCATAAACACTCGAAGGGGAACAAAATGAATTTCTACCGTTTTTGCCGTCGCCGTTTGCGTAAAGGCGGTACTATATCTATTTTTCTGAGAATCAAGGTGTGCATCATACTAGGTCTCCAAAACTCTTAATCCAGATTTCAAAGTCTAGGGCCTACCATATAAGTTCTGTTTTAAAGCTTCTTTCTTTTTAAAGGTGACCGTCCATGTGACTGACGAAAACGACAACGCTCCTCATTTCCAGTTCCTTTCTCCTCACAAAATGACCGTCATGGAGGATGTGCCTCTTGGAACAAGAGTCGGTCGTGTGGAAGCGCTGGATAGCGACGCAGGGGAGAACGCTGTATTTGAGTATGCCATCACTCACGCGAATATTGGTAAGACAGTCATTTTAAGTGAATTCCAATACATTATCAGATAGAACTTTCATCAACATTGTCGTCCGGCGATTTTTGGAAGAATCTGTCTTTATTTAGTAAATTTTCCAATATTTTGGTACATATATATTTTTTTAAATTTGAGCACTTTTTGGAACTAAGCTATGTAAAAGTTTATCCAAACGCATGAGATTACGAGGACATCGAGTTTTAAGATACAATCAACGGAAACACATTAATGCCATGCAACATAGTCATGTCACAGATGAGCTGCTACGGCTCGAAATGGCAGCCCTGTCTTCAGAAGCGCAAAAAAGGCAATGAAACTGCAACTGTGTCACAAAGCAGCACTAAATGGTCAAATTGTTTTGTAAAAGTACTACTTCTGCTTCTGAATGGTAGGCCATTGAGGACCATGGTTGCTGGTCATTGGTTGCTCCGCAGTTCTCGTGAGTCGAAACTAATAGCTTACATTTGGGCTATATTGTACGTGTCTTCTTATTTTCAGGCCCAGGGCAGTCAATGATCTCGATTCACTCAGACTGCGAGACTCCTCTGGGACTGGAGAAAGGTGACGTCAAAGCCAGCGACACTCGAGCCACAAGTACATACACTGTCCCTAACGAGGATTACTCACCAACACAGGGGAGACTAAATAACAAAGTTTTTAACCAGTTTGGGATATCTTACAAAGGTAAAAAGACAATTAATAAAGATTGTTCACTGACAGCATTGCTTGACGTTTGTAATAAAAGAGAAGAATATAAAACACATCGAGTGGCTGAAAAATGTTAAATGTATCAAAGATACTCCTTCAAGTGACGATCTTTAGATATTTTGGAGCCTTTTGAACTTTTTGATGAGTTGAATGAGTTGAGGGATTTTCGGATGAGTGGTGGAAAACCAAAACCAAAACCTCACGGAGCGTATGTTAAGAAAAGGAAGTAAACTGGTATTTTTTTTAAATCTGCATTAATATCACCAGTTAAAAAAGCAACAACAACAACGACAAAAAACGATAAAAACGTCAACAACAATAATTAAGCAGGGTAGTTATACTTTCCTTGTCTATTTCTTTTTAGGGGCTTGGTGTGCAGCAACGAATAACAAAAAACAATATCTGCAGATTGACTTTCGAGGAATGCGAAAGGTTACAAAAGTTGCCACACAGGGGAGGCCTGGATCCAACGATTACGTTAAAACTTTCAAACTGTCGTTCAGTTTGGATGGTAGCTCCTTTGAATTCCACAGAGTGGTATGACAGAAAGTCAAATAGAAACCGCAAAGTTCTAACATCAAGATATGCGACTTGTTTTCTTCCTAAACTTAGGAAATTGATTTGCATTGAATCTTCGAATGCAAGTGCGATTTAACTGAAGTCAAGTTTAGTTCAGAAATTTCATGCTTTTGGTTGATCTAAAATAACCTTCTTTGCAATTTTGAATGTAAAGCCTGTCTGTTTTCTCTCTCTATTTAAAGTCTTTCAATTGGGAGAATGGGACCTTAAATAATTTCGTGATCTAATGCTCAACCATTGAGCCACAGATAGCTCGTTGGTAAGCTATTAAAGCTATAGCCTGTACGAGTCAGCCTGCTCCTGATACCATGGTTTCCCCTGTAGGTTTTCCAGGGCAACAATGATGGTGGTAGTACCAACACGAATCGTGTTCTTCCTCCATTTCACGCACGTTACGTGCGAGTTCATCCTCAGTCGTGGAATGGCAGGATTTGCATGAGGCTGGAACTTTACGGATGCGAGTCCACTGGGAAAGACGAAGGTAACCTGGCCTTTAAGAAGCACTGCCGTCAAACTCTCTTAGTTAACACAGCGCCCACAGATTCGGATCCCTTGGAACCAGTTTTGTTCTTTTGATTCAATTTATGCAAAACTACTACAAGGGCGTAGCCAGGGGTGTCCTGGGGTGCCCGTGGCCCCCCCTTGGTAGGTCTTCTTTAGAGCAAACAACCTACGATATTCAGGTGGCGAAAACGCCATGACAATATCTTGGCCGTAAAAGCCATTGATATGGGCCTTCATGCCGCGATAATACAACTGAGCCCGCTTATACACGTGGGAGAGCAACGGTGTAAATGGTGAGTAGCCTCTGTGCCCCCCTCCCCCTTTGAAAAATCCTGGCTACGCCCCTGCACTAACGTCTATTGTGAGAAAAAATTGGATTTTGTTTTTTCAATTTTAGTAACCCTGCCTTTCATCATTGATCCAGACACTGGTTATGTTAGTACTTCATATAGTCTGGATCGTGAATTGCAGGAAAAGTATATCATGACTGTGGAGGTAAGTGTGAGGACGATGATTATGAAAGCATGGAAACGAGACCGGTTGGACAATTTATAGAACATTAGTACTACATGTTAATCTTAAAGACCCTGTTTTTACCAGCCTTGGCGAAATTGAATATGCCTGTATAAATAATGCCAAAAAATAAATCATCTAATGAATGTGTAAGAAATAAATGAACAGAAGCTGCCTCCTACGAGCCTTTTTGTTCAACGCAAAGCTCGACAAGAGAGGGTGACCCGTTAAAAACTAGAGGTTTGTTTTCCCTTCCTCTCAGGCCAAAGACAAAGGCAGCCCCCCTTTGAGAAGTAACACAACTCTTGAAGTCCTGGTGATAGATACCAACGATAATCCACCAGTATTTACACGACCAGAATATACTGCACCAGTTCCGGAAAACGCCTTTGGTGGATATCAGGTATGTTATCGAGAACAGCTGCACTAACAACATGGGATTTCAGGATGTGCAAGGTAACTTTACGTTAATTATTTGCTTTTTGTTAGGTTATAAGGGTCACAGCTCTGGACGCTGACGAAGGCAGCAATGCTGCTGTATCTTACAACATTGTCGATGGTGCCGGCGACAAGTTCATTATTGAAGGTAAGATTCAAAAACTCATTCCTAATAAAAAATGAGGAAGTTTGAGTTTTCGTCAACTGAATTCTTTGAAAATGTCCCGTAAAAACACTACACGCTGCTGCGGCTTGGAGAATAAGTTTGTATCCTTTAGATTTTAAGGACCTCTCTTTCAACTCTCTCCAATAAAAATACTACAAAATTGCCTTCGAAGGACCGTTGGTCTTGAAAACACAGGACGTTTTGGTACAAATATACGGCTATTTGGCAAATTGTGCTCTTAAATTTGGTATTCGTCTGTTTTACACTTTGACGGATGATGGTAAACTGCGTAGCTTGATTGTTTTGTTGTTTTTGCTCTTGAATAATATAGAAATTTCAGTCCCAAGTGACGTGAAGAGATAAAGATCACCTCAAATGTTGTTGTTATTGCTATTGTTTTTGTTTGAATTCTTATTTTTCTTTTTTATAGAATTATCAGGCATAGTTCGTCCCTCTGGTCGTCTTGACTACGAATCAATGAGGGATAAATTCTACGTGCTGAATATTTCTGCCAGTGACCACGGTCAGCCCCAGTTGACGTCCTTTGTTCTCCTGAACATTACTGTGACAGACTTCAATGACAATCAGCCTCAATTTTCACAAAATTCCTACACTTTGCGCGTGTCAGAGGATACTAAAGTGGATACATACTTTGATCAGATTACTGCTACTGATGAAGATACCGGAGCAAACGCAAAGGTAATGTACGGCCTGCATGTTTTGAATACTGGTCATTTTACTTCTCGAAAAGCTTAGCTGACCAGTGCTTAGAAACCTCTGATTCTAAACGAGAAGCCTTATAATCTTTGAAACTTATGCTTATTCAGGTCGCGAACGTCGGCCCCGAAGATTCTAGTCTAAGACCTTCGCATTTCGCCAAATTCTTAATGACATGATTGGCAACGAACTCAGCTTAGAGTTTATCATTTTATTACTGATTACTGTATGATAATTGGCCCAAACCTGATCTCAGTTGTTAGTCCGTCGCAAGCCACTCGTTACCAGCGCAACCTTCAATTTTACCGTTCGTTAGGTTGCTTTCAACAGACCGCGGTTGTTGCTGCTGTTGGTACTGCCCGTCGAAAAAAATGATAGCGAGTGTCGGTCGCGCTTAACCACACGAAAACCTCTTTCAGTAAATCTGTAGTTATTAGCGCACAGTCTATGGTTCCCTCGTGACTTTTAAGCTTTTAAGAAGAATCTAGACGATGTAGGTAGGACGGTAGATTTTTACCTGGAAATTTAGCGATCAAGCCCACGGAGCGGACACATTCCAATTCTTGTAATATTCTCTATTTAAATCCTAGATCACGTATTCTCTGAAGGATGACATGGGAACGTTTTTCATCTCTCCTGAAACGGGACAGTTAAATCTTATTGAGTCGCTAGACCGTGAGAAAAAGGACCTTTATCGGTTAACTCTTGTAGCCACTGATAATGGGGCCCATAGACTTTCCTCTGAAGCAGAGGTAATGGTCAATTATATTGTCTTAGAGCACAAAAACTTGCTTTCATGATTGTCATAAGGAGTTGTAATTCTTACCAGTTCCTGGCGAAGAAATATAAAGCTCTACCGAGCAGAGAAATCGTGAAATGTCCGTCCACACAACCGAACTTACACTAGTGTTGTGCTGTTTAATATTTGTTCAATTAAAGCATTCTGTCAACAGGTTTCTGTCTTATCCCTACAAACACGTAATTATAAAGATCTTCCATAAATATTTAAAGTGCACTGACCATGATTTTCAAGCCAGAGACAGGTTCTAACGCCAGAATTTGTGTTTTTTTTTTACAGGTGTTCGTCGAAGTCTTGGATGTAAATGACAATTTTCCGAAGTTTACTCGCCGTTTGTATGAGCGGAAATTGGTAGAAAACGTAGCCGTCGCTACTGTTGTACAAGTCGTGCGAGCTAATGATGCTGACGTAGGCAAAAATGGCAACGTGCGGTACATGATTTCAGCGGGAAACAAAGCTGGTAATTTCTCCTATCATTGTGAGAGTAGAGTTAAGTTCCTGTTACAAAATGAACGCATAATGCATAAGTTGATACTGCTAACCTCGTATAGAAATTGCAGTATGCAAGATAATGGCTGTAACCTTCAGAGCTAGAGCAGAGAATACGATGAACGGTCTGGATCCCAAAACAATGAGACAGCCAGGATGTGAGCCAAAACTGCCTTTGGATTCGGAGTCGGAGTCGGAGATGGGGCGCGCCTGCTATTGCGTCATTACCTCTCCAAAACATGTCAGCTTAGTGATGAATTTTCATTAACATAAATGTTAACATCAACAAACCATTAATAATTCTAACTTTAATTTCAAGGCCTTTTTTCAATTGATGAAATTACTGGAGAGATAAGTGTGGCAAAACCCCTGGACCGTGAAGCTGACAACTCCTTGAAAATTAGTGTGCTCGCAGAGGATGGTGGGGAACCTAAGAAAACCGATCAATCAGAAGTTGAATTTTTTTTGACTGATGTGAACGACAACTCACCCGTCATAAGACCGCAGAAGAGCACGGCTTCAGTCTTCGAGGTAATTGAATAACTTGTGAAGGTAAAAGCACCAAATGTTAAAGAATAATTATATTTTAGATCGTAACGAATAGACGGCGAAGAGTCTCACGTCAATATTGCTGGCTAAGCTTTGGAGTACATATTTTCCCACCTATGAAATGTCGTCCATAGAATGTCAACACTGGGTCGTTTGTGTATGACGTCAATGCCACTGATGACGACATCATGATGAATGGGAGAGTAGAATATGCCATCATGCATGGCGAGGAAGGGAAGTTTGTTATTAACGCCACTTCTGGAGTTATAACAACTTCCGGTGCGCTCGACCGGGAGAAGAAGGACTCGTATTCGGTAAGTGACCTTTTTTAATCCCAGGATGCCTATCTGGGTGATGTTAACCTTTTCCGGAGGGATCTTTGTTAAGCTTTTAGATTTTAAGCCTGGAGGAGGGTTGGGGGGAGAGTCAGACCTATTACTTTTCTATTACTACTTCGGATGCTGCACCTCTGAGCTGTTAGAGACTTGCTTGGTTTGGCCGTTAACACCGAGGAGCGCTTTCTATCGTATGGAAAGTGGAGTTTTCGTGGGAATCAAATGGAATGGCCTTTTCAATCGGAAATATTTCGGAACCAAAAGAAACATATTTCGAGATTTTCTGTTTGGTTTATTTTAATTACCTAAAATTCACAGGAGCCTTCGATTTGTAAATCAATACACCTAATCCATAAGAATACAATGATTTTAAGACTTGGTGATTATTTTCGTTGCCTCAGCTCATCGTCATGGCACGTGACAAGGGCACAGTTCCATATATGGATTTCGGTACAGTTGACGTGAAGATACTTGATATGAATGACAACACACCACTATTTACCAGCGTAAGTTAGCTTCATTTTTACCAGCGTAAGTTTGCTTCATTTTTATTGTTACTCATTTGTGTGAAAGGCTTAACGTACGTTAGGCCTTTCATGTAAGGCTTAACGTACGTTAGGCCCTTCATGTACGGAAGCTTTGACCACCTATATTTTCTTTTACCACGGTTTTATTTCCTTTAACCTTTGGTATATAAGTTTGTGGTTTTGCAAGTCGAGGTGAGGCTCGAGGTTGACGCTCGTAAAGGGCCTCTCGTAAACATTTGTGGAAGGGATTCACCATTTCCACCTTAGTCTGTGTACAGGCTTAAGTTTTTTTAGTCAAGTGATGAAATACGCTTGTTTTCTCCTTCAATCCGACTACTTGGATTCGACCTCGTAGTATCACTTACGTTCAAGACGAAAATGTAAAAAAAACTAGAAGGTTTGTAAGTGGATGAACATTACCTAACTGTTCAGTAGATATAGGTCACCTAGGAATAGATTAGAACTTAAGCGATGTTTCATAAATAGATGTCTTCAAAACCGTATTTTATTCAAATCCGTCTATAATTCTGTTATTAATGTTAATTTAACTACTATTATTTTCGTTTTATTCGCAACGTTTATTTTTTTAAGTAATGATGAATTTCGATTTTCCATGAAGACGTTCGTTTCTTTTATTTTAGACTTTCGGACCCTTCCTGGCAACTGAAAACGAACCAGAGAATACAACCATAGGAAAGGTTTTTGCTGAGGACAAAGACATCGGGAAAAATGCTGAAATAACATACTCAATAACAGGTGAAAATCTACCAGTGGTTTTAACATCACATATTCTAGTTTAGTTTGTAAATGTCATTTTCGAGAGTTATAAATAGCTGGATATGATTTAGTTCATTAAATTGATTACAATCTACATTGAATTTCAGTTGTCAGACAGAGAGGGATATGGTGCAGAGAAATACGACTGCATCATGTTGCGCTTCACGGTCTCGCTCGAGCTTTGGCTTTCTCGAGTGTTTCAGATGAACACTTAAATATTTGACAGTCAATAAGCACGAACGAAACAAAAAAGCGCGGTTTCAGTATACATGCGAAGTCGCCTTCTCATTTCCACGCGTTGTCCCTGTTGCAAATTAGCTCATCATTCGAATCATCTTGTGTACCATCTATCAAGTTTTTTATCATTATTCTTATTATTATTTTATTATTATCATAATTGTTATTAACTTGACAAGGTATACATGCGAAGTCGCCTTCTCATTTCCACGCGTTGTCCATGTTACAAATAAGTACATCATTCGAATCACCTCGAGTGCCATCCATCGAGTTGTTTATCATTATTATTATTATTATCAATATTGTTATTAACTTGACAAGTTAACTGTCGTATACCTTCATTATGCTTCGTACGGATGTCGCAAACATTCATGGTAGAAATCTGTATTTCCTACTTCTTAATAAACTAATGCGTATTCTATTCTGTATTCCATCACCAGGGGGGGATTCTGAGAACTGTTTTGAAATCGACGGAGCTAGCGGAAGAATCTTTACGAGAAAGCCATTGGTAAGTAGCTAGTATTTCCTTGTCGATTCGTTTTAAATTGTTTTTTTCAAAATATGATAAAGGGGGTAAGTTTCTAAAGAAACTGAGGTGCTGCGTCGCTGGGGGTAACAAGGTAATTGGTTTTATCAACTGAGTTGAATTCGCTCTGATGAAAGGCTGACGCTCGAAACGTCTGCTTTTAAACCTTTATGGTAGCCAATTTACATTATTAATTCAGTTGATAAAACCAAATTACCATTTTCAAAATATGCACATGTCGTTTGGTGTTTTGCATTTAGGACCGCGAAAGAATTACGCACTACGATCTTTCAGTGGCTGCCACCAATGTTGCATCCAGTCCACCCCTGAGCAGTGGGACAATAGTGAGAGTCAATGTCCTGGACACTAATGACGAAGCACCTCGTTTTAGTGTTCCAAGCTACAACGAGACAGTCTCCGAGGGAGCCAAAGCTGGGACGTCTATTGTGAAAGTGTCCGCTCAGGACAAAGATCTGGTTAGTAAAGTCACATATCTGGCTATTTAGGCGAATTGTGCTTGATGCAGCCTCATGAGAGACTGGGGTTCAGTTTGAATTTGTTCCTGGGAGGCACTAGAATAGTTGTCTCCCATACAGAGGTTTCCGTTCGATGTTACCAATGAAGTGGGACTAAAAAAGTGTCCCTTTTATACGGTGTTCTTTCAATTAATGTACCAGATACGAAGGTAATACAGTGTCAAATCACTTAAGGGAAACGTTTGGCACTAAACTTATAGTCCCTTATCTGAAGAAAACAGAGCTGAACAATTTGACAGCATTTTTTTTTTTTAATGGATCGTGAAGTTAGCGTTCATCGAGTGGAATTACCTGTTATATAACTGTCAATTTCTTAAAGGAACATTACCATATACATCTGTAACCTTTGGAGACCGAAGCGTCAAAGTTTCGTTCTTTTTTGTGGCAGAGAGGATCAAGGTTAATGTCAAATTTTGAAAGCTACTTCATTTCGTTACATAAAGAGCAAGAGCAATGAAATATCGGGTGAACTTAATTACTTAATTAAAGTTTGTATCTTCATTACGATGTAACCCTTACTTTTTATAACCTTCCCATCCTAGGGTACGAACAGTCGTGTCTTGTATAAAATCCTGTATGACGAGATAACTGCAAACGTGTTTGGCATGAATCAAGATTCCGGAATAATGACGTTAAAAAACAACATCGACGAAGAAGAATACAGACACTTTATGGTTATTGTAGAAGCAAAGGACCTTGGATCACCCCAGTCCCTCTCGTCTGTTGTTCCTGTTTATGTCATCGTTGATGACGTTAATGACAACCAGCCGAATTTCGACAAAACGTTCTACAGGTATTTATGAACATACATTTTGTTTAAAATTAAAAACCATAGTCGCTCTCGCTCAAATATCGGAAACTCTGGCCATGATATAGAAACCACTTACTTGGAAAACTCAGAACCAATATGGTGTTTTTTCTCATTCTGTAGGTCAGACTGTTTCAATTATTTTTTTTCTCCTTATTTATCTCTAAGCGCGTCAGTCACTGAGGCGGCTCCCATCGGTCGCTCAGTTCTCAAGGTCAGAGCCACAGACCAAGATATGGGATCAAATGCTGAAATAACTTACAAGATAACAGTTGGAGATGATCGGGGTAAGGTGGTTCTTGTAAAGCTCGAAGGATTTTTTTTTATGTACGGTTGACGTCTTGCTCTCTGTAGCTATTGATTTGTTTCCAAGCTCACCTTCGTGTCTGAACTTTGCAGCCAAACGATACCAATTAAAAGCACTATGAAAAATTAATGAAATAGAAAATTTACGCTTTCTTATAATTATGTCCACTCATAGTAATTTTTTCCGTCCAGGTGACTTCCGTATTGATGACACTGGTACTGTGTTCGTGAACAAGGGTCTAGATCGGGAGAGGCATCCTACATACACACTGGAGGTTCGAGCCTATAACTATGAAACCAAAGCTTTCAATGAGACCAGTCGACCACGGGAGAGAAATGTGGATGGTATGCGCTGTCGTTTGGAGTATACTTTACTTTTCTTCCTCTCGTAACGGCGTTGGATTACTAATCAACAGGGGGAGTGGAGCTGGCTGAATCGAACGACAGGAACTACAGAAAAATTTCAGATTCTATTGAAAACTTTCAGGATAACGCATTGCTTAATCCAAGATGAATTTTCAGCATGCAAATTTATCCAAAGGGACTGAAGCAATTTTTCGAACTTACTCTCTGATTTAAGCTGAAAAAGATCTTAGGAGAAAATTTTAAAACACCATCATTTTAAATTTGATATATGTTCCATTTTGGTTGCAGCTGAGGGTTATTTGTATGACACTTCAACCCTTATGATAGCTATTCTTGATATCAACGATAACGCTCCTAGGTTTATCAGACCGCTCTTCACTGGAGGTAAGATCGACTAATTGAACTAAATATAATCTTCACGATACTCTGCGGGAATAATTCTGTAATGTGAGGAATACTTTACCTTCCCCCCCACAGTGGTCGACTAAGTCGTAAGCCATGTAATGGGGGGGGGGGGGAACAAGCCATGATTTAACGTACCCTTGCTTGATTGCCCCCGTTGTATTTTACTTTATTTTTCACTCAGTGGTAGTCCGCTTTTTTTCCGGTGCTCAATTACGAAAGTAAACATTGGCGAAAATGAATAGAATAATTTGTCTTTTTAGGTGTTGCAGAAGCTGCAAGTTTTAACACGTACATAATGAAAGTCAAGGTACGAGAAGGAGACCATGTTTTACAAATGTTTTTTATTTCAAAGGCCAGCAAAAGAAATAACCCTAAGGAAATATCCTAGTTTTCGACAACCTCCGCAAGTGTTTTATCCAGATAATTCTCTTCTAATACGGACACACAGGCGTCCTTTTTAAAGGAGGATGACTCTTTATATAAGATTTCGTGCTAGTGGGACTACAGCACTCTTCGACCGAGACCTACCGCGAACCATCGCGTATGTATGGGATAAGTGGAGTTATACTGGTTTCTATAAGCATGTGAAAAAATTGACTTTTGAATACGGACACACAGCCGTCCTTTTTCGAGGAGGTTGACTTTTTATAAAAGATTTTGGTGCTATTGGGATTACAGCACCCCTCTACCAAGACCTACCGCAAACCACCGTGTATGTATGGAATAAGGGGACTCGCGCTGTTTCTATGAGCATGTGCAAAATTGGCTTCTCCATAGAATTATAATTATAGTTAATTATAAGTTATTATAATTATTTCAGGCTACAGATAGAGACGCTGGTAACTTTAGTGCGGTGCAATATAGGATATCCTCTGGTAACGATGGTGGCTTTTTCAAAATAGACGAAGACACTGGATTCATAACAACTGCCAGCAACTTTAGAGGGAAAAAGGGCGAACGGTTTGAAATTAAAGTCAGCGCTCATGACAACCACGGAAAGCCTCCAACAAACGAGGCTGAAGGAGAGGCCACGGTCCAGGTACTATATTTGGCTCTGGTTACATCTTTTGTTTTGTGGCTTCAGAACCAATCTTAAAGTTTGCAAATTTATGGTGGCTCTCAAGTGCCTTGAGATTTATTTGAGAAATGTTATACACTAAAAGGTCGCTTAACTTTGAATAGTAAAATCGGACGAAAATTAAAACGAAAATGAATTCGTTTCAGAATTAAGGCCAAATAATCATACTCGTGCATGAGTTGTTAGCACAATTCCGAAACCATTCAATCGGCTATGGCATATGTATTTTGCGTAAAAGTAAAATACTCGACGAACTGTTGATATTTGTAACTAGTATTTATTGCCGGCAACACGTCCTTACTTTCCTACAGATATTTGTACTCATTGATGAGCAACGAGTAACTCTCAAGGCTGAAGTTGATCCATCTCTTATTGATCGAAACAAAGAGGAATTTATAAGGTTAGAGACTACCCGATTGATAATTCTCATTGGTTTATTTGTATTTGCACGTGACAAGTCGATTATCCCATGTCCTTACTTGGTTTTAGTTTCCTGTTTCCATTCTAATGTCAATAGTAGAAGCCTCAGAAAAAGAAAAATTTCCAGAAATCCGTACTTGAATAATCCAACCATTTCACCATTCGGCACCTCTTTCCTTCCTCCATGATTTCTTTCTTTTTTATTACGTCTCCGTCGCTTTTGTACGTTCCATTCATTTCATTTGAATTGTGTCTTTTATATGATCTGATCTGTAGATTCGTTCATGAAACAAAGGCGAGTCGATACGTGTCGTGATTAGCTCAGCGAACTCATTTCACGAGGTAGTCTTCAACCTCCCAGCTTCACCTCTGCGCATTATGATAATTTCTAGATGAATAGATTTGAAGCTATCATTTTTCTGGGAAAGGGAATGCGTGTTCTCTTCACTGGACCGTCTTCTACTGTTTCTGAATGCTGTCTCTCTTTTTATCATAATTATTAATTTTTTTGTGCTCTTTCCTTAGCGTTTTGAATAACATAACTGAGGCTGAAGTGAACATAGAAGCGATATTCAAAGTCTTTTCAGAGAACACGGATGGTAAACAGATGGTTAACTCTGAAGTGTTGTTTCACGCTGTTGATGTTAATACTCAGACCATCGTGACTAGCGATGAAGTACTGAGGTAAATATTTTACCTTCATAATTGTTTGATATGTCACTAAAAACCCGTTTTTTATTGGGAAGAAGAAGTTAAGGCTTAGCTATCTCTCTCTTCTATATTTTTTTCATTCGCTAGACACATATTTTTGGTAATCACAGGGCTGCGAATTCTTTTCATTGTTTGGAGAAATTTAAACAGCTTGGAATGGTTTATGCAAATTTACTCTATGCTGAACTGCTACCTACTTTTCGGCTACTTTTCCCACCTTTTTTCCGTTCACTATTTAAGACACCTTAAAAAAACATTAGAATCAAGTATTGCTTTTTCATAAAGAAAAAAGACAAGCTATTGTCAAACATGGCATCTTTTTTTTCTACCCTAGCACTATTGAAAAGTACCCTGACCAGTTGGAGACCTTGTACGCCAGGTGGAAAATCAGAGCTCCCATCTCTGCCACCACACAATCTCCAACGGAGGACGGTGGCTTGGGTAACGCTGAACTAGCACTTATCATCCTTGGATCCGTTGTTGGGCTGCTGTTATTACTTGGTCTGTGTTTTGCCCTAAAGACTCGTTGCAGGTAACTATTTTATGTCGAAAGAAAACTCAAAACCAAGGTTTCCCTGTGTTAGATTGTAACAACTCATTGACGCTCACTCGTGCCTCCGTCATGAGAGGTAACGCTCCTACTTTTACGCATACCAGCCTAAGGACCATTTAATTTTTGAAGTGAATCGTTATCCACTATTTTGTCTCTTAGAGTAAAGAAACGTGAAATGTATAACTCGCCAAGAGCACGAAGAAAACTTGGAACCACCAATCGCAAGTAGGTGTTTAAAATGGAGCTCACATATTTTTTGTATCTCGATACGACCATGCCCCCGAACCGTTTCTTTTCAGCATGATCATACTGACACAGAAAACAACTGAACAACTATTTCACTACCTTGCTGGGAAGCTTTATTTTTCACTTCTTCTTCGAAAAAAGTGGGTAAAATAACCTTCATTATAAGGTATTTCTTTTTCACTTCATTTTTATTTTATATTATGCAATACTCAAAAAAATATCTTCATCCTATTAGAACATGCTTAAAAGCAAGATCTGGCAAATCTCGTGAACTTTTCATGTTCAGAGCTACTCTGTAATGTAAAAATTATTTTCTAGTGGTTCCTGGTCGTATTATGATGACGTCATTGGTACTATTGAAGACAAGAGTGTAGCTTCTGTCAGGTATTAGAAAGCTGTATTAACATTTACTCACTTCTTTACCTTTCTCCGATATCTGATTGAATCTTGGTCCTTAACGGACAAATCATTTACTAACTACAATACGAGAAAGTTCCCTCTGTGGTACTTGTAATATGTTTTTTGCCTCGCTTATCGTTGTGAATTTGTTAAATTTTTCATAAAAAACATATTTTTGTTGCAGGATGTCTCATCCATATGGAAGCGACCCGGGAATGTACAGCGGCTCAGATTATGTGCTCACTAAGAAAGGACAGTAAGTTGTTTGCAGTGAAATTCACTAATTAGCACAGTGTGACCTCTATTCAGGGTACACTCTCATGGCTTGAAAACTGTACCTTGAAAGACGGTTTCCTTAGACGAGAGTGACAAATACAGAGGGCTTAGAACATGATGCATCGGTCAGAACCAAACTGGCTCTTTTTCTCATGAGCAGATTTGTTCCGAAGTAGAGATACTGCAATGTTGGCATCGGATTTTCAGTCAAATATTTGTACAGTTATTGAAATGTTTAATCCATTATGTTGTTTTTCATTTACTGGTGTACGAGAACTTATCTTATTACTCAACGGTAATTTACGATTGTCTTGTCACAAACGGTATACATTGCAAGACGCCGTTTTAAGATATTTCAAGTATTCTCAATGTCGTAAATTGCCAGGTACTAATGGAGAACTTTGTAGGTCTGGTGGAATCTTAGCGAAATTTCTAAAAATTTTCCTCAAAATAGGCATTTGACAGAACAACAACCCTCCTTAGTCTTTAGGGTTAACACATCTTTTTTTTCGGATAGCTCATTGGAAGACAGAATTTGGGATGACGAGGCTGACTGCTACTTATCACAGGTAACAAACCAGCCCTCAAAAATTAGTTTGGATATATCAACAAAGTTGAAATGGTAAAGTGGAAAATTAGTCAAATACTCAAAAATTAGTATATGAACCTATTAAAAAGATAAAGTTGTTACATGAGGTAGGTAACTGTGCCTTTAATTAAAAGTGCGAACTTTTTTAAAATGGACAAATGAATTCAGCCAAGGGAAAATGATGGAATGTCATTCTCTTCCCGTTCAACAGATCATCTGTGTGGTCGATCGTAAGGCAATTGTTATTATGGTCAGCATGCAATGAATGCATCTTTTATCTTTTCGTCGCACGCCCGTGAAAAATCGATACTAAAGGAAAATTCATTACCTCATTACACTGTAGTGATATTGAGGTATAAATTGCATTAGTGATAATGAGGCATAAATTACGAAGTGCGATATCGGTTTTCAAGTGCTGTTAAACGCGGAATTCGCGAGTCAGGTTATGGATTTTCCTTAAATCGCATAATTGAATAAAAAGCAACAATATTACTTTTTTCTATCCTGAGCGCGAAACAAGAGGTGTAAAACACTCTCACTTATCTTCGTTTTCAACTGGCAATTCCACGCTAAATACCTCGCTTCGTTAACCAATCAGAATGCAAAATTTTATTCAGTTGCGATTCTATCTAGGTTTATTCGATCGTCTAGCTTAAAATTTGCAATATTTCTCACCCATTTGGGGCTTCAAGCAGCTGGAGGGACACTTTGTCCCATCCCCAGGACAAACCTTTGACTACTCCTCTCTTTATTCTTTAGGATTCAAATTCTAAAATCGAATCATATCTTGACGATGACGGCGAGTCAGAACACGGGGCAGCCGGAAGTGATATCAGCCAGGAAAGTTCTGCCCACTCATCGAAACTAACAGCTGACGGCATGGTTATAACTAAAGTCTAACAAGATGCATTTCTTGTTTTGAAATACTAGTCATAACAGCATTGATTACTAAGCCCAAGTTCAAAATGTTTGAACAAAAATGGACTAAAATGAACTGTAACTCTCGGATAAGGACGCAAGCAAGTTTGTTAAGTCCCCCGCAAAACATTGTGAGGCGCTTAGAGGCTTGCAATAAGCGCTATATAAATTTATTATTATTATTGCTCTAACTTGTAATTTATCTTATCATCAACGGCACTACTTGATGCAACTTTCGAGTGCTCCCAGAATCATTAAATAATGTGCAGATGCCATAAGGAAAACGTGTTAAAAAAAACCGCGGGTTGTTTACTCTTTTTGCTCTATTTCTTGATTACGTAGATGTTAGAATGCATGAGTCAGGCATTTTTGGCCTTGAATTGCGAGGACATTTTATAGAAATTTCCATCACGGCATTGGTCAGTTTGGAGCAAAAGAAACTCACAATTAATCGATGTAGCGTTGAAAAAGAAACTGCCCATTCAACATGTACCATTCATGATAGGTTTGACCCATACAGCTTATAGAACGCATTTTCGTACATCTAGAACCTTTACAATATTTCCTCTTGCTATCAATTCCAGTATTTGGCTGACAGATAGTGAAAGTTTTAGGTGGAATGGTCTTACATACCACGAAGTAGTTTTCAAGTATTTTTAAATTGTACGTGGCTTTGATGATAATCTTCGCCAGCGAGTAACCTTGTTAACTTTACTGATGTGTGTTTTATCTCAAGTCCAAATAATTGTACGGACCTAACCGTCTTTGTTAAAACTGAGTCATCTCTATCAGCAGTAAGCCTTGAAATTTGAGAATAAAATGTAAATTCTCTCCTTGGAAAGGTCTCTGTTAACAGAGAAAAATTACTGACTTCTTAGCCGGTCCTACGCAGTCACGCGAGTGATGTCGAGCAAAGTAGCGGGTTCTATGAGGGATGTCCCGTTTTTTATTTGCTAGCTCAAGATATTTCGTTTCGTTTCGTTTCTAAAGATTTGTACATTGTACAGGTGGAAGAACAATAGGACAGGTAGCCCCCTACTAGGTTCATCCACCTAAACCCAACCCACCCATCCCACCCCGGGGATTTGTACATTGTACAGCTGGAAGAACAATAGGACACGTAGTCCCCTACTAGGTTCATCCACCTAAACCCAACCCATCCATCACACAGTAATCTCGTACGTGGGAAATTAACGTCTCCTACCCCTCCTGCAGGAGACGGGTCCTCCATTTATTCGCCCCTATCCGAGAAGACGAATATCTAACCATTTCTTGATGTTATAGAAAGGTAGCAAATTCTTCTCAGTTATTTTAAGACCTTGAGTGTTGGTCCGGCCAGGGCTCGAACCCTCGACCTCCCAAACAACAGTCCAGCGCTCTATCCATTGAGCTAACTGGGAGGCGGAGCCGTTCGAAAATTGTCTTCGAAGGTGTACAGTAGAATTTTTATCGCATTTTCTTTACTCTTGTTATGGTTGGAGATAAAAACTATATGGTTTCTGGATTATACTTCTCCTTTCACGATTTAAGCCTGCGGCCAATCATTCAGTAGGAAGTGTCCATGTTCGACCAACGAGGCAAGGAGAGTTGATTGTGGTGTTCACAGTCTGAGCTTGAGTTCAGAGTTAAAGTCTGGGAATCGGTGTAGAGCTCATCGTCGATCATTTGCTTTTCATTAAGTATTTCATATTGCACCTTTATGAATTTTCTAAAGGTACCTCAGAGTGAGCTTTCAGAACGTGCTTTATTGGAATCTGCCTTATCAGGACCTGTCAATGTAAATCATGAGTTGGTAGGTCTAGGAGGAAATTGGGAAGACCACATGACATACTTCTCAATATACTATCAATTTAAAGGTAATCACGCACAATTAAACCAACGAGATTGAATTTTTGGACAATATCCCTGAGATTAGTTTATTATCATGAACAATCGGTTATAATTCTTGGAATTATTTTGTCCATTCCTAACCTTTTAAAGCAGTTCTCTGCATATTCCTTTCTTCTACACATGTATCAATAGATTGTATATATGAATTAAAAATTGTTTTTCTTTGGTGATAATGCTATGATTCGATTTTGAAAACTGAAAGTAAAATGAAATTGTTTCAGTCCGGCACTTTGTTTATAATAGAGGAGTATTGAGGCACTCAGTTGAGGTCTCTGCACTAGACTGGTTTACTTCGAATATGCAGTTGCACCTTTAATCGACTAGCGAAAGTCGGGCCTTGTAAATTTAATCGCAGAATGTGGTTGATTAGGGTCACGGAGTTTACCTCTTTTAATGTGACGCTCAACCTCTTCGCTGGGAGGGTAGCTAGTCATCTAATAGAATGGTCGTCTGGGAGGAAGATAAAGATCCCACAACATATCAAATGACCCAAGTTTCCTAAACCTTGAGTAGATATTGCAGACACATTTTGCACAGAGTCACACAACAAACTACTAATCAACTTAACCGCAGTGATTCGAATAGCGCAGTCTTTCTTCGACGCAGAGATCCAAGAAGGGTTCTAGTAAATTTTGGTATTCTTATGGAGTATACGATTGGATTGGCAAAGCTGTTGCTATAATGCAATAGCTTAGTGAAAGCGAAGACTTCATAAGGAATGTGAGAGGACTCCCAATCATCATTTAAAAAAACCACGATGTTAAGAATGTAGAAAGGTATCCAAGTTAAAACGAAAACGAGTGTTATAATTAAAAGGGTCGTGACGAGTTGTTTTTCTTGGGCACTTCGCTTCATTTGGTCGATTTCTTCCTGATATCTGCTCTCCCGCTTCGGTTTCTCTCTTTTATGATAAGAAACGTTCGCCCATACGAGCACATATGCCACACAAATGAGCAGGAGAGATGTGAATATAAAGAAGATAACAAAGTAGAAAAAAATTTTATACTTGAACACCTTGAATCCGTTCATAAAATACAACACAGCTACCAACAAAGACAAAATCCATACGACTGCTATGAGTTTGTAGTAGGCTTTTTTGGAGGTTAGACGATGCCTTAGAGGACACATCACCGCATACAGTCGCTCCAGAGCGATTATTGTCAGAGCAAAGATTGAAGAAAATGCTGTGAAAATGTCTACGGCTTTATACGCAATGTAAGTCCCTTCAGCATTATTTTTCCAGTAGGATATTAACTGATGGATATACATTGGAACTGCAAATGTGCCGACCATGAGGTCTGCGACAGCTAACGTTACAAGAAAGTAGTTGGCACGCATGCGTAGAAGTTTCCTTTTAGTGAAGACTGCGATGGTCATACAATTGCCAACGATGATAGCCACTGCCACCAATGCGAGAGCTACACACCACATGACCTGCTCAGACAGAGGCATCGTGCCATTCATAGTTGGTGTCCCTTGGGTAGAATTGAAGTCATAGTTGCTAGAACTTTCCTTCACGGTCCTATTCATACTTACAGATTAAAACTGCAAAAAAGAAAAAAAATAAATGAATAAATAAATAAATGAATACACAAACAAATAAAACAAATAACGTGGTGAGTCTGTTAGCAAAGGATAAATCGGGGTTAATTCAAAGATTTTGCATTAGGGGTTTTACCTCCCTAAATCTTAGCTTTCGTGTCTCAAACTAGTTAATTACCTGAAAATATTGAAGGGCCGCAGCCAGGATGAAACATAGTTGAAATTTAAAAACGATTTCTGGCAAAAATGACTAAAAACTACGAGCTTTCGACTGCCCGAAATGCAGTCTTCGACGGTTAAAATTAATGATAAGCAAGCGATGAGAGAGCTTAAATAAAGACATGAACTGCGAAATAATGAGAATATAAATGATTGAATATTTGTTAAAAAGAGTGTTGTATTGTCCAGGTAACGGGCAAGAATTGTTATCTGGGTTAGGTGTCATTCTGGTATGCCACGCTTCTAATGTTTCTCTGGTTCCAAAAGAGCCTTTGTTAATAACTGACGCGTTTTTAAAGTCAATGGCGTGGTTGTTGGACCAGGCGTGATTAGCAATTCCAGAACCTTTGGCCGCAGTTTTGATATTTCTCAAATGTTCTTTTTTTCGGGTATTAAAAGCTCTACTGGTTTCCCCAA